CCGTTGTTGACAAGAATATTAGACGTAATCCCTCTCTTATTTCCATAAGAATGAACAGTGACGTCATAGTTTTAGTTCATCCTTCTATTGTTTTGATCAAGAACAAAAGACTTCGGCTGCTTTATACTTTTATTGTGATGACAAACAAAAGGCTTTATCCGCCTCTTGTTTCCCCAAGAATAGCCCGTGACGTCATTGAGGATAGTTTATTCCTGCGCCAAATTAGTATTCCTGCGCAAAAAAGGGCGTAACTCGGCTTCTACTGTACTACTGAAACGTTTGAAAGTTTTTGTCTGGCTTTACGAATGTCGGAGAAATAGGTTTTACAGTGGATAATGCAATGTTTTTTTTCCAGGTAAATACGCGCCATGAATGTACTTCGATTAATTTTCCCATCAATTCTGGTTCTACTGGTAGTTTGGTCAACCTCTGTGACATCAGGAATCAAACAGGATGCACAGAGAAACTTCAAGGATCATACCCAAACCAATGGACAACCCGCCAAGCGAGCTTATGGCGCTCATGTAGATGGGTTTGCCATTGCGCTAGGTGTTGCCGCGCTTATTACTGGAATTGGTTGCACTGAATCGGGAGCTTGCTCCACTGACGTTATCACCCAAAAGATTGACGCTTTGAGTTCAAAAGTCGACAGCATCCAAAGTCAAATTACGACTCTACAAAAAGAGGTGGCGGAAATTAGACAAGAGGTCCATATGAAGTGGTACTTAGATCTTATTGACTATGTAACAAGTCAGATGACAAAGATTTCTGCTGAAGCGCTTTTGCAGAGTGCAAATCGACAAGATGTGGCATTGCGCGACAAGTTTGTAGATCAAAATCTTGGTATTCATCGAGATGATTATGTGTACAAGGGGCTTTTCATGATTCCAGCCCTCGTCACATCTGACAGCATAGTAGAACACTACCTGAATCATCAACGGGACTTGGATGAAGCCAATGCAGTCGATCGAACATGTAATTTTGCGAAGGAAATCCTTGAATATCAGGACAATGGCTACACGGTCCTCATTGTCTCTTTTGCATTAAAGTTCGAAGATGATCTGCCTGCATACAACGAAGCTTTGGCCGAGGTTTGCGCCCTGTGGAGAGCTGGGTGGAGCGCCAAGCTAAGGGAAGAATGCAGTAGATTACAAGACGAGCTACCAGAGGAATATGAAGACAGACGCCAGCCCCAAATAAATCATATACTTGGCATCAAAGGATTGGAAAATTGCTCTTTAAACAGGCCAACGCCAAATTCGTCTGCATCGTAACAAGTAACGCAGACTCATTAAATTTGAAAGGGAGAGATTATTATCGGAAAGGGGTTGGGAAGGGGCCACCAAAACATGTGCCATAAGAGAAAGAGTCTACGTGTATATTAAACTCTGAAGCATTCACTGTAATATTCCAAATTCAAAACAGGGATCCTTTGCATTTACCGTATGCTAAAATAAAGGTTACTAAACTTTAACTCATGGATAACTCATTCATTTCATAAAGAAAAAGTGGCACAGTGAAAAATGAATGGAACATAAGTTTGCCGGGGCGGGGGGTTGCTACTCTTCCCCCTCAGGTATACTTTTGATAACGCGACACCTGATAAAGTTTCCATGTTTCATCTTCCTGTTTTGTTCATTCGTATCATTTTTCCTGTAGTAAGATATCATATCGAGAATCGTATGGCGCTCGACATGAATACGGGAAAAGGAAAAGGGATAGTGACCGACTTTAAGCAATTGCCGCCAAGAGAAGAACGTTAATTTTTATTTATCCCTTTCGATCACGACCTGTAAAGGAAGGCAATTTTTCGTCCCAAGGACAAGAGTACATCCCGGAACTCAGCGATGTGAGGGCCGCCATAACGCAAAGCCAACAGTGCTTCTCAAAAAGAGAGTTATATTTGTTAGTTATAAATAAGGAGGTAAAATAGTAGAGAATGATCTTTCATTTTTCGTTTCCTGTCGTACATTTTATCGTCCACCAAATTTTAGAGTTTTTTCCTTAAAAGTTGTGAAACACGAGAAATCAAGGCGTTTATGTACTTTACAATTGAAGAATTCATAACCGTGTAAACTCGGATTGATGAAGTAACTTTCCTGGACCGACTCGTCTTACGACTGCAGATCAATACTCCTGCGTTACTCTTAGGCTTGCAGACAAAGATGCTCCATAGAACCTTTTTCATACTGCAAAAACAAGTGCGAATCAAAAAAATAGTAGCGAGATGATTAGCAGGTGTAAAATGCCTTGCAAATGGCCCTTCTTATGACTCTCAGTGATCGTGAAGATCTTTCTCATTCAAAAAACACGGGTAAAGCAATGGTCGAAAGCGAGCCAGGGAAGACTGAAACCAAAGCAGCCATTTGAAATTTTTACCGTAACCGTTCTTGGATTCCGATTATCAAGTTAGTGTACATCTTGAACGCATTGCCCTTGGTTTTCCTTCTTTTCCCATTTTGCCTGACCGGCGCAGACGTCCTAAGTAATGTGACCGCTGGAGATGACTTGAAGATTAACCCCTTCATTACGGGAGAAAACAGTAACTTCCAGGACGAGGTGATTGAGACAAAACGAAGCGCCTTCATAGAGGAGTGTGCTTTTGAAGTGCGTGGTCCTGCTCGAATGCGTTGGTCTTAACTTTGTAAGAGGTACAAGACAGTGCAACATGCTACGAGGGGAACGCCATCCACAACCAAGGATATTTCATTCAAAGAGCTGGGTAAAATGTCTGCTCAAGGTAAAACATCAAGCATGTCTGTAGATGCTTGTAGAACGCTTGCAGTCTTCGTTCAACAACTAATGGACGTAAGTGAATTCAAAAGAAAATATTAATCCCCGCGGTTTTATTCACAATGAAAGACAACAAAACGAGTTCTGCAAATAGAGTGCGCAAAATAATAACTTTTCTGCTGAATTTACAAACGTCTCCATGAGCTTGTGGCAAAGTTGAATAACAAGCCATGTAGCTTTTATTGATTTATTTTGGCAAGTAACCTCTTGACTACGCCCTCAAGCAAGTTCTTGCTTTGCAAATAATTAAAAATACTAGAATATAACACGTACGCTACCACCAAAATCGCACGGAACGCGACAAATTTTGATTTGGACTGGATGGATGCCCGCGCTAAAAGAAAGAAAGAGTTCAACAACCTCCAAAATACGTGGATGTGCGGCGAATTGGATAACACTGGTCAGTGCTGTTTCTCCAGTGATGCCATTCATACTCACATCTTTGCCGTTTTGTAGAAGATAACGAGCTGAGTTGATATCTCCACGACCAGAGGCGGATGTCAGTGTCACCCCTGATATAATGAGTTCTCCGAGTCGGATCGGATAGACCTTTTTAGTCGGCGAAGCTGTCAAGCTCGCACCCCCAGGGCTCACTTCGTAAGGTGAGCCTGCTCTCGGGCTACCAAGCCGTCCGTCAAAGCGTTGTCGCTAGTCCCTGGGCCTCATTCAGTTCCGCACGGCCAATGCTTTCTTACCTCTGCCCCTCGCGGCTTCGCCGCTCGCTCGCGCGTTCTCGCGAGACTCACTTTGCTCGCCCAAATAGGAGAGCTTGCTCGCAGGCTAAATCCATACTAACATGACGGCTTCGTGTCATCATAGTTCAGTACGTTGTGCATGATAAAACTGTAAACAAGAATTAATGATACAGCTTATACGGAATGCCTTACTGAAGTAATGCTGCAGATTTAATTGTACATTCGCTGAAGAGATGCTTATCAAAAACATCCCGCAGAAATTTTAACCATCAGAAAAAAATGGACGCTTAAAAACTTAAACTTTTAGCACCATTACAATTACGTTCCAGATAAGTTTGGAACATGTCAACTCTGTATAAAATAGACAATATGTGAAGATTCTATCCAATGTGACCTCACTCCCGCAAATAAACTATGCAACCATTACTCTCGAATGCTCCCTAATAGTACGTGAAAAAAATATATCAATTGTACCTTTATAGCAAGGAACCAAACTCATTGCGGTGAGGAATAGAAAGGAATAAATTAATCAACAATAACGCAAACGGACCAAACGCTTCGATTCCTTTACCTAGATCATGGATTTATGTACTGTTTTATGTATGCCTAGATTTAGGTAGGAATGAAGGAATTTAGATGTTTGTATTGGACTTCGCCTGCTTGGCAGGCGCAAAAAGGGGAGGGGGAGGTGGAGGGGGAGGGAGAAAAGCACGAAAGAGGGAAAGGGAAGGGAGCGCCTTCCCCTCTCTCCGCAACCCCCCTCCCTTTTTCCCTTTCTCCCTATCCCCTACCCCTTTCGACGCCTGCTACGCAGGCTATATTGGGGTGTAGATTAAAACCATTCAGTGTTTTCAAAAGCTATCTGTTTTCCAATGTCCATCGAAAGAGTGATTAACTGTGTCTAAATTTGTAGCAAAGGGATTGCGTGGCTTAGTTTGCAGCTATATATGTAGTGTCTTGCGATAAAGAGGCAGTGGTATGGGAGTAAATTGGATTAACTTGGGCTATTAAGAACTTGCACGTGCAGGTCGTGCATTGGTGTGCAAGCGAAGAGCTAGCTGGCGGCGTTTGTCACTGAGAAGGTTTAGCTTTACTTCACTGCAATAGCAGCAAATGCTCACTAAAACGCACTTAATCAGAGATTTATGAACTCAAACAAACAAAACTCACCATTCTTCTTTTTCCGATACTTGGAACCATGATTTCTCAGGCATTTCTGCCGACTCTTGCAAGTTCCATTGGGTGGTGCAAGAAGAATTTGGACTTTTACAAACCGGAAGTTGCCGCGATAGACCCAGTTCTGTCAATATTCTAAAGTATGCGTCGTTTGAATCCAAATTGGGAAATTGTCTGAGTCTAGATTGTTCAATTCATAGCTATACTTTTCTTTTTATTAGTTAATGAAAAAAAAGGGATTTTCACTCTTAGTAATCACTCTCTGAATCTCACTTCCGGTGAAACCAGCTAGTATCATAGTGGTACTGAGTCTCTCTCGGTCAATTTCTTGAGCAACAGGACCGAACAGGACCACAACCGATCGAGATGAATGATCCAGCTGGAAAAAGAATGGTACGTTCTATAGATTCATTGTTTCTTTAATATTAGTCGCAAGGCTGGAACAAATACGCAAATCGCCTCTTGCACTTCTCAAATTATTTTATGGCAAGCCCTTGAATCCATCTTAACATTCATCATCGGCCCATAGGCTTCTGGAATCTTGAATCATACGCGTGCTCCCTGTTGATCGCTAGATTCGCTGAGAACAACAGGAACTGAAGCAAATTTCATCATGGTACGTGGCGTTGCACAATGATACAGATAACTTACCATAATCAAGGCTCGAAAAAAGTTGAATCCCAGCACTTCCTTTGAGCAAGCAGCTCTATTAAACATATTTTGCTTGCCTGCCGGACCACTTCTTGGTCATCATAGTTAATGATTTTTTAGCGGATGACTCACCTGAATCCTTGCCCATAGGGCAAGTAACCTTTAAAAGTTACTTGCCCAGCAAGGAAGTCTACTCGTCCTTTGCCACCAAACAGGTATTTTCTTCCGAGTCGTGATAATTATTGGATGTGGTTTCAGGAGTATACATATATCATAGTGATATGAAGGATTAATTTTAAATCATTATGCAGATCAAGGAAGGCTCGGCTGAGGAGGATAACACCCTCCAAGATACCATAAAATTCCGAAAATAAGGCCCTCCATGGATAAGCCCCTCCAAATATAAGCCCCCCAAACTCATAACCCAAAAAACCCTTCGTTAAATCACCCCTCCAAATATAAGCCCCCCTGGGGGCTTGTACTTGGAAATTGTCCTCAAATGCAAAGTAAAACAAAGCAAAAATGGTAAATTTCCTCCCAACTATAAGGCTAGCCAAATCGATTTTGAGAGGCAAATTTCCCTCCGTAGATAAGCCCCTCCAAAAATAAGCCCTTCAAAAAGGGCCTTTGAAAAATATAAGCCCCAGGGCTTATTTTCAGAATTTTACGGTATTCATAATTAGTCATATCATACAAAAGCCAAATCAGGCAATTTTTTTTGTTATTTATTCCGAATATTTCCAACTAATTATGAAAACATGCTTACTTTGATGATGATCTATGCAAAGTTCTCGTCCTCGTTTCATTTGCTTGTTGCTTGGCAGTTTCTTGATGAAAAGCAATGTTATCATTGAATCAAGTTGTATTTTTGCTATTCTTGTACGTCTATTCCAGTTTGGCTATTCATGTGAAATCTCCTGCCATTTTCTCCAACTGTGCCAAAATAACTAACTTTGTGCCCCTTCTGATCTGCTCTCCCCTTTTCTGTTCATTATCTGTGAAGGTGACTCATTTTGACGGCAAACATCATCCAAATTTGGTCCGTGGTAGCTGGTTGTTAAAAAATTAGCCAGGGGTTAGGATAAAATCAGAAACTGAGCATGAATGAATAATAAACCTTTTTCCCTTTTACTTGTTAGTTCCATAAATCATCTTAAAATTAAGCCTCCCACTCTCTAATAAGCCCCCCGTTTTCAGGGGAAGAAAGTTAATAAGTGCACCCTCTCTATTAAGCCCCCCCCCCACCCCTCTTTCCCCCCAATCTTTTTTTTCATCAAACTTATACATTTTTTTACCCCAACATCCCTCTCTCTTCTTTGTCTCCTCCTTTGGGTTGTTGACATTTTCCCACTAAACTGTGTGTTTTTTTCTACTTTCCCCCCCCCCCCCCTCCTGTCCCCTAATTATTCTTCTCTAATAAATGATAGACTGTATTAATCAATCATGCCTGTCAAACTTTGTGTAGACTAATCCGGGATGGTTTATTTACCAACTGGAAGTTTGGGTTGATTCTGATCCTCAGCTGCATGACCTCCAACCTTCTTGTTCGTGAGCTCCTCCACTTTGTATTCTAGTTCTTTATGGAGAACTGCTACCATAGTCTTTTCTAAATTAAATAATGGCCCCCTCCCAAATAATTTCCCCTCTCAAAAGGGCTTGAAATATTGCCAGGTTTAAAGGACGATTTATGGTAATATGAATATTGATGACCCTCTATTTAGCAACAAGTTACTATGTCTGCCAACAAAATTGTCATTAAATCACTTAAAAAACAAACCCTCTTTTCTGGCCAACCTTAAATTAGTGGCCATGTGTCTCTTCCCCGGGATGGTCCCCTGAACAGGTTTTGTACCAAATATGGCCTCTTTGAGGTTCCATTTGGTTTACAATATTTTTACATCTAACTGAGTTTACATAATTGGACCTTTTTATATTAGCTTGTATGTTTTGCTTTTCCAGTGTTCTCCAAGGAATTTGTCTTTGTCTTTTCATAAATTATACAAACACACAATTTTGGATGCACATGCATAGGACGACATTTGAAAGAAACAGTTCTCTGGGGTACCAAATGTGGTCTGAAATGGGAAAACAAAACATACATCAGGGACCGCGGAGCAAGGTGAAAAGTGGCAGGGCTGACAATTGAAAATAATTTTTTCACATTGAAAATCGAAAAAAGGAATAAAATCATAGTATTTGATTTGTTTCTGTCCCGTGACTTTGCATACTTTATCCAGTGTATTTGTTGCTCTTTATAGGTCGACCAACATTCACGGTCAGTTCAGATTCAATGCAAGAAAAGACGCGATTACAATTTTAGTATAGAAAATACTACACTGAAGTGATCTGAAAAATTTCTAACTATGGCCGTTCACTGTTCAAGTAATGTAATTCTTCCTGCCATCGAAAATTTCATTGATTCGAAAGGAGAAAGTGACAAAAGATAAAACTTTTATCAACTCAAAACAACTACTCACCTTTGTTTGGCTTGAAAAAGCTAGTAATTTTCTTCATTTTGTCTGATAAAACTGATAAAAAACTCTGCCGGAGCTGGAAGTACAAAACACGCTGCCGAAAGAAGCGAAGGGGTGGCCAAGGCATGGCGTTTGATCAAGGGGAAGTCGGCTCCAGAGCACAATTACCGCGAAAAGCACAGGAGCCCCACAAAATGCCTGGCGTTTGAAATTAAAGAAAATACAGAGAATATAGCGGAATATAGACGGAAAAAAAACTTGTTTCAATTCTTCTTTTTTTTTAATTATTTTTCTTTTAAGCGGAAAAAGTGGGGGCAGGGGCGCAAAAAAGTGGTGGGGCTGCGGCCCTACCAGCCCCTCCCCCTCCGCGGTCCCTGTACATGCTAAAATTGTCTATTACGTGCGGTGTTTTTTCTTAATTAAAAATCAATGTGTTTGATCTGTTGATTCGTCTGATAATAATAGGCTACAAGTTACATGTAGCACAGTCGAGTGACTTCAGTATTTAAAAAAACGTAGAACCTTGTTATAGGTAAAACCTGTATAATGTACAGCCAAGTATAGATGTTATGTGTACTTGCATTGTAGTAAAATGTACGGAACAACATTGGGACTTAAACACAATCGAAAAGTTAAGCAGAAATTATCCTGCACATGCACAGTTTAGTGCCAACATTACTGGGTGAGAATTGAATTTACATAGTATCATAGGAACCATATGCAGAATTTTCACTGAAACACTAGAATTATCCCATAATTTTCAATCAACAAAAACTCTCTTATAAGCATTGAGTTGAGCTTGCTTAGGGATTAGAAAAGAAATGAGGAGGTGATTAATTTTACATGAAACAGGATTCCTTGCTAAAAGTTTTGACAGTCGAGTCCTCTTCAGGATATAAAATTTTCTAGTTATGTCATATTCAATTATTTGTTTCTGAATTGATTGAGTATGAAGATCAAGAGCCTGGATTCGCAAAAAAAAAAGCAGAAATGTGATGATCATAGTGCATCATTTAGTCATCACCAAAAATAAAGTGTAACTGTTAACTTCAACAAATAGAAATCTGAGTGGAATCAGATTATTAAAAATTATTCAGTAATATACATTACTTCACATGGTGTTTGTTTCCTGATAAGGCTAATTAGCTTATTCCTTTGGGCACTGCAGGTCATATTCACTTTGAGAGTGACCGAAAGTGTGTCAAATGATTTCACTTTGACAAGGTTAAAAAAGATAAGATTTTATCATATATTAGCTCAATTAAGCTGCTTGAGCTACAAAGAGTGAAGATATTCTTTTGGTTCTAAATGTGTCATGGGCTGCAGTGAATTGTTGCACCTGTTATAATGAAAACTTTTTCCAGATACATTCAAAATTTGGATCTCAAAAAACTTGTACAAGAAATTTTGATCACTGTAGACTGAGATTCACTTTTCTTCTTTTTTCATTGGAAAAATGGAATGTATCTTTCTTTCTGAAATATGTCATGGTTATGGTTACACCAGGCCAATTGAGATGATGTAATATAGCCACTTAAGCAACTAAGGATATTCACTGATCTCAAACTTGTCACCATCAATCTCACCTCTCAAGAAACCCCCTTGTTTTGCAACAACTGTACCATTGATCACACATACAGATGTAGAAAATGTAATGTGACCGTAGAAAGCAAAGCTAATACATATGCACAAACCCTAGTGGATTTTGCACTTGTGCAGCTAAAGAATTATGTTCTTAACTTGTCCAGCGGGTAAGTGGTTTTTAAGGATACTGCGAATTATAAATTAAAGTACCATAAATGACCTAATAAATGCCCACTTCCAAATAGACACCAAGGTCTTATCTAATAAACGCCCTCTCTATGTTGTTAAAATTGTATTAGATGTCCCTCTCTATTAAACACCCCCTGTTTAATAGACACCCTCTACAGAATTACTCCAAAGTACTAGGAAATTTTTTATTAGCAAACAGGTGCAAAATCCTTCAATTCATTCAGTTTCTTGCTTGATTGACCAGGGTTTGCATATTTCATCTTATGCAATTTAAAGTTTAAGGTAAAGATAGACTAACGATAGCCACACAGTAACAATGACCGAGATTCTGACATTGATGTTGGGATTTGAAACTCTAGGGAGCCTAGACCTATCAATAAGGAGTGGATATTCTGCTATTTTTTAACTCTCTTCACACTTTTGCCAAAAGCATTTTAGTTTTGTTGAGCTTGTTACAGTCATGAAAATAAAAGCCTCTCTCTTTTAGATACCTCCTATCTATTTAACACCCCACTTGGACCGCTAGAATTAAATAGATGCCCCACACATTTAATAGGTCATTTACTGTACTGTAAGACAAAATTAATACATTGTAGTTAAGATTTTCTCATAAATTCATGCTGATCAAAATCTGTTTTTCAAGCTCATATGACAAAGTGGAATTATTACTATTGTTATAAGAATGAATTAATAAAGCAATATTTAATAAATAGTAACGAATTACATGTATTCGCTTATCCTGTTCATCCAAGAAAATTTCCTGGTTAGCTACAATAACGTTTCAGTTAAGCTCAGGCAAAGCTGACTTTCTTTGCACACTGAATACAGTGCTATGTTTTCTTGTATATAATAAGCCAGTTACAGATACTTGTTGTGTTTTGCAAGGGTGTCAGATTACGAAAACTTTCCCAAAGCTTCATTAAAAAGAGATCTTATTCGGGAGGACCCATGTAACCTAATACCACTTTTTAGCCTAACAAGCACTCTTCTAAAATAAGAGTCAAATAAAGAGAAGGAACATCCTCTCAACCAAACTACCAACAAATCTCTATTTACTCACTTAACCCTCTAAGACCCAGAATCCACCCAGAATCCTGTTTTCAAGGCTTCCTCGCCACTTTCTTCCTGTAGTGTTTTTTTTTCTTTGTTTCTTTGTACATTTTGTTTGGCAAATAAAATAAACGAATTCTCCAGACTAATCTCCATACGTTTCTTCAAAGAATTAGTTGAGAAAATGTGAAAGAAATTCAAACATTATTCCTTTGGTGATCATTTTATTGATTTTATTCTCATAACCTTTTCTCCTGATGATGTATGGATATTGTTGGAAGAAAATTGATGATGGTCATTCTTTCTTTCCTTCAGTTTCAGTTTCTTTATCCTGGGATTTGAAACCGCAGTTACTCTAAATATCATTATGACAAGATTAAGTAACTCTTTCTTCACTAATTGGCTATTTTATGTTTTGCTATTGAGAGTTGATACCTTACAGTCCTACTTAGTGAGGGTTCATGATTTATGTAGAGGGTGGGGGCAAGAATTTTTCCAGTTAGTTTTTAGCGGGGGCTATGGAAAATATCTGCCAATGTGACTGAAGGTTTTAAGGGGGGGATAGCTAAAAAGTTGCGACAAAAACCATTACTGTGTTTCCCTCCCTTCTCCAGGGAATTGTTTGTGTCACTATGAGACTGGGGTGAGAAGAAAAGACAGCATGTAAGGGGATGATAAGAGGTGATGGGGGAAGAAGGACCACACCCTTTGCTCTTCCCATTGTCCCATTGTGCTTATTATTTTTGTTTATTTTTTTTTATGTATAATGTATAATTTTATTTATCTATTGCTAGCGGGAGCCTCTGCTGAGGAAATAGTCTATGGGGGCTATAAAAAAATTTGGCCAATGTGACTGAAGGTCTGTGGGGGGGGCAGGTATCAAAAAAGTTTCAATAAAAACCGCCACTGTGTTACTCTCTTTTCCCCATTTATCTCCTTGTGTCACTAGGAGACTGGGGAGAGGGGGAAAAAGGAGCATGCAGGGGATGATACATGTAAGAGGTGATGGGGGAAGGAGAACCACACCCTTTGCCCTTCCCATTATCCCCTCGTGCTTATTATTTTTGTTTAATTTGTTAGGTAGGATTGTATCGATGAATTGCTTGTTGGAACCTTTGCTGAGGAGATAGTCCGTGTTCTTAAGTTTATAATCCTATTGGTGGTGAAGCTAGACAGTGCTTATCAGTTTGATAAATTTAAGTTTTTCAATAGCAATAAACAAAACTGATTAGTTTTTTGCCTATTAAACAATTGTTGTGCTGTGGTTAAATGTCTTGATCTATTCATCAGGGTTTTGTAGGTGGGAGTGGTGGCAGAGGAAAGGAGGTCATGTATTTTCCCTATAGTTGTTGGATATGGAACAACGGGGGAGAAGATAAAAACATACCAAATCAAGGGGGGCTTCCAAAAATTACACGGAAAAAAAATCACTTTAGCCCTTCTCTACATAAACTATGAACCCTCACTTAATTTGATAGAGGCTATAAAGACCTCACGTCTGTGCAAACATTTTGGCTTGATTTTGTAGTCCTGATCTGCTATTATTCAACTCATTTAATTCTACTAGCGGAAGACTTAAAATGTTTTTTGATGGTGTTTTATAGAGTCTGATATTTCTGCAAAATTTTTCTTTGCCCCCTGTGCCACCCACCCATGGTGAACAAAACGTTTACTACGTAGTCCTAGACTGCATCCAGCCTTTTACGGTTTGGCAAAAACCATCCCTGTCACCCCTTAAAGGGCATCCAAAAAAACTATATCCCCCAACTACCTGTCTCCTAGAAGGCTTTCCAAAAATGTTTGTTTTCGACGCCGCCCTCATGTCACAATAAATGAAAGCCACCTCATTTTCAATTTTTTTTGTGGTGGTAGCTGTTCTGTAGAGGTAGAGGTGAAAAACACTGAAAAGATCAAAAGATATGTTCTTATATTCACGAGCTAAATTCTGACATAAGATCGCACTAAAAGAAACGTCGTTTTGACAGTTTAAGTTCTTTTCGGGGTTAACCACTAACCATTTTGGCGTATCTTTGTGCTAGTAAACGATCACAAAGCCGATATCAGTGGAGTGCACCGAACCACTGCAGTTGTCCTGGTGTCCGGAAATACTTTACTTCACAGGGAGCACATTTCTCTGAAAATTTTGACCAAAAATGCTTTTCGATCTCCCTACAATCGAACGAAAACAACTCCATTGCCATTGTAAATGAAAGCTGCCTTGAAATCGCTTTAAAGTCGCTGCTAGTTTTTGATAACGATTTGAACTCGCACCGAAAAAAGCAGCTCGTGTGTCTGGCCGTGCAAACTGGCCTAATTGTTCTCTCCTTCACCACCGCATTTCTGTTGTTCCTCTTCTCCAGCACCTCCATTTCTTAGGTTTTCTTCCTCCATCACCACAACCACTTTTGTATTGATTCCCTTCTCCAGCACCTCCGTCACATTTGTATGGTTCTTTTCGTCTGTCACCATCACCCTACTTCTGTTGATTCACTTCTCCAGAACATCTATCACATTAATATGATTTTCTACCTTTATCACCACCGCCACATTTCTATTGATTCCGTTCTCAGCACCTCCATCACATTTCTGTGTCATGACATTTCTGTGTTGTTCTTCCTTCATCAAAACTCCCACTTTTCTTTTGTTTTCCTTCTTTTCGCATTTATATTTTCCATTCTCAAGCACCACATTTCTACAGTTACCTCCATCACCCCTACCACCACATATTATCGGTTCTGGTAATGGACAGTTCCCGCCTGGTTCCCCTTGGATTTCAGCGTACCGACAGTAAACAACTATTGTTTAAGCGTGTTTTGAGATTCTCGATTTTTCCGATAGCTTTTGTCCTAAACGTGTTTAACAGATTCTTTAAGAGGGCTCTGCCTCAAAAAAAAACAAAACAATTATTTGCAGAGAAGATGCAAGAGTGGCACTGTGTTATTAACTCTACATGTAGTGTAAACCTGTTGTTTTTGTTATTTACTCATAGTAGCTCCAATTGTAAAACTTTCCTGTGCTCTTTTGGTTACAGCTGTCCCTTAAGACTTTGGCCTTTAATAAACTGATCACACCAGAGACGACAAGCGGCCTGAGTTGTCTACAGTCAGCTTGTGTTAAAGGAGACATCGAGACTGTCAATGCAATCTTAAACTACAGTCCAGACAAGCTTGATAGTGCCATAGCTATGGGTATTAAGATTGGCTACAACTCGTCGGTTTTTCCTGGCAAATCTCTTTTGACAGTCTTGAGACTGAAAGGTTCAGAAACGCACAAGCAGATAAGCGAACTTGTTGAAAAAGTTACAAAACACTTTCAATCCCAGTCTCTTTTGCACTTGGCTGCAAAAAGGGGAAATACGGAGCATCTTCGCAGGCTGCTTGAGTGTGGTGAGCATGTTGACTCCTTGTCACCCGACCTGATGGAAGGCCTGAGAGAAACGCCACTGATGTTGGCAGCTAGGTACAATGAGGTGGACGTTGTAGAATTCTTAATAGAGAGAGGCGCCTCTTTAGAGGCACAGGATATAGAGTATTTAAGCCCAATTCACCATGCTGTAAAAGGCGGTAAAATAAGTAATGTTCTACGCTTAATAGAGCTTGGAGCTAAAGTTTCGAAGGAGAATCTTGAGTATACGTCCCCCGTTCATTTAGCTGCTGAATGTGGCCACACCGATATTCTTCGTCTTCTCTTGGAGCACGGTGCAGATGCTACGAAATCCGTTGCGTATAGCGGAACAACTCCAATTATGTTAGCTGCTGAGAATGGGCACTTAGAAACCCTCAAACTTCTTCTAATAAATGGATACGATTTGGATAAAGCTGATGAAAGCGGCCAACTTTGTTTGCACTGTGCAGCTGAGGGAGACCATTTTGACGTAGTCAAATTTATCCTTGAAAGTGGTGGGAATGTACTATCAAAAACTGGCTCTGGTCAGACAGTTCTCCATTTGGCTACCCGTCGAGATTTGGTCCAGTTTCTTTTTGAAAAAGGCGCAGATGTTCATGCAAGAGACTGCTACGGTAGAACTCCACTACATGCCGCCTCTGGGAAGGGCCGAACCGATACAGTCAAGTATCTTCTTGTTCAGGGGGCAAATGTTGACTCACGTGATGATTCTGGATGTTCGGCTTTGTATGAGGCTTTGCAGGGTGGTCATGCCGCTACAGCCAAAGTTTTGATCGATAGTGGATGCGACGTGAAACTTTCAACCGATCCAAAACGCCGTAAGTACCTACACGGAGACTTGCTCATAGGCGCGACATCAAGTGGACGTACAGAAGTTTTAGACATTCTTTTTCAAATCGGTTTACCTGTAGATGAACTTACACTGTATAATGAAACGCCTTTGATGTCAGCAGTGAGATCTGGACAATGTGAGACTGTTGCCTTTCTATTAGACCGAGGGGCTAACATTAACGGTCAAACCAACAAACCCAAAGCAGATGAAGGCGATGATCATAATGCCAGTGGCTCAGACTATAGTGAGGAAGATGACTACGCGAGTTGGTACGAGTTCAAACATCGTCATCGTCCTCCATTGTATTGTGCTCTGGAAGCGGGTCAAGAGAAAGTAGCTAAACTTCTGATAGAAAGAGGCGCTGATTCTTCATACTCGCAAGATGAGGATACATCACTTTCCGAACTTGCAGCTAAGCATGGCTTCTCTGACATCCTTGGGCTTCTCGGGTGTAAGGATGACTTTCATTGTGATAAAATCGTAGATGGTGACACTTTACTGACATCAGCTGCTGGACGTGGAGATATCAAGTCGGTTCGTTATCTTCTACAAAATGGCGCAGACGTGAATATGAAAAGCGTTAAAGGAGAAACAGCACTTACCAGTGTCATTCAATTTGCTGACCTTCCACGTGTGTTAGAAGTTGTTAAACTTCTCATTTCGTTTGGCGCCGACATAAACGCTAAGAACGCCGGTTCTCGAACACCTCTTTCGTTAGCTTGTTCAAGAAATTTTTATCAGGTGGCCGAGCTCCTCCTTGAATTTGGCTGTGAGACCGGTAACATCTACGGTGATTCCTTTTCTCCCTTGCACCACGCTTCAGAAAACAACAATGGAAAACTTGCAGAAATTTTATTGCAGTATGGCGCTGATGCAAATGTGAAAGACGACGAGACGACACCTTTGCATGTAGCGGCAAGTTCTTCTGGTATTCTTGCAGCTCAGGTTCTCTTAAAACATGGTGCTGACGTTGAAGTTGTGAATCTATCAGGCGAAACACCTCTCGCCGTAGCAGCAAGTCATGGAAATTTACCGATGATAAAATTGCTGATAGAAAGTGGGGCAAATGTCCATACCCAGGACAAACATGGTAGAACCCCTCTCATTCTCGCCCTATGTCATATGCGGTATCTTGAGTTTGAAGACGCCGGAGTGGCTGTGGTTCAATACCTATTGAATAGAGGAAGCTCTGTAAATGCTACCGACGTTTATGGACGATCGCCAGTTCATTATGTACCTCCTAGTGCCACAAGAGAATTCTTTGACTTGCTCTTACATCATGGTGCTCGTGTGAATGTGCCTGATGAAAATGGAGAGACGCCTTTACATTTTGCTGCGTCGGTTGGAAGCAGCTCTTCAATTGAGTGGTTGTTGGAACATGGTGCTGACGTCAGAGCAGTTGACAGAGAAAATCGCACCCCACTTCACACAGCTGCATATGAAGGCCGCCGCAGTTGTGTCGAGCTACTAATTCAACATGGTGCTGATGTTCACGTCACCGACAACAAGGGATGGCTGCCTTTGCACCTAACTTCGTTTTCAGGCTGCGCTGATGTTGCTGGGCTTTTGGTTCAAAATGGAAGTGATGTTACAGTGGTTGACAAAAAGGGAAGAACACTTCTTCACTTGGCTGGAAAATTTGGACAGGATGAGTTTTTGGAATTTCTTATTCATCAAGGTAGCGACGTTAATGCACGCGATCTAAGTGGACAAACAGTTCTTGGGGAAATATCCAAATGTCCTTACAAAAACCCTGAGTGGAACTATATCCAAATATACCTGAACAATGGTGGCGACATATTCGCAATCGACACTCCAACAGGTCGAACAACGCTTCATTTTGCTGCGGAATGTAATTTCGTGTCTACTTTGGACAATCTATTAAACCAAGGCATTGAGGTTGACGCAAAAGACAAAAATGGGGACACTGCTTTGCACCGGGCAGCCGCATATGGAGCTTCAGAAGTAATAGAACGACTGATTGATCGAGGAGCGGATTTGTCTGCCTTGAACAAGAAAGGTCGGACGCCATTCTTAGTTAGTCTTAAAAGGAATCCTAACAAAACAGCTTGTGAGATTTTGCTAAGACGTGGAAGTTCGGTGCATGTTGCAGATAACGAAGGGAACACGGCCCTTCACTTCGCTGTCTGTCAACCCAGTGTTCTTAAGGAAATTGTGAAAAAGGGAGGAGATGTCAATGCGGTTAATAAACATGGATGTAGTCCCCTTCACGAAGCTGCTTACGGCGCGTACTTACCAGACTCACCGCGGCTCTTGATCAAGGCAGGTGCTGATGTCTGTTGCCAAGATGAACAAGGAAATACACCTTTTCACGTAGCTGTTTTGCGTGGCAACAGTAACATTGCTGAGTTTCTCATTAAGAATGGAAGCGACGCCCTTGCTACCAACTTTCAGGGTAAAACATGCCTTCACATGTCCAGATATTATGGCGATAATCGTCTTTTAGAGAGGATGATTCGTCAAGGGCTAGACGTTAATGCTGTCGATGAGCTCGGATGCACTCCCCTTCATATTGCCTTGCTTGGAAACGACGAGTGGCTGGTAGAATTGTTGTTGAAGAATGGTGGCGATTGTGGAGCTGTGGATTATAAAGGAGCCACCCCTCTTCACGTAGGCTGCTGTTCAGGAGGAAAAGAAACGGTTTCGTTGTTGGTTAATCACGGAAGGTAAGATTGCAGGTTTTTTATGTTGTTCCCAAAACGAAAATTGCAAAAAGGTCGTGATGGTGGTCGAGACGGGCTTTTGTCGGTACTTTGAAGGCAAAGTCTTCCCTCTCCTTAGCTGACATTTTGGAAACAGGGGTATTTGGCTATTATACAGAGGTGGCCTTTAGCCTCTAAAAATCAAGAGTGGGTGTATTTCGCTAGAGTAAAAAAGTGGCCCTTGTAGAGAGAGGTGACCGTTAGTGGAGGCTCTGCTGTAACTCATTCTTCAGTGAGATATCGGCTTCACATTTGAAGTGTCTCCATCGTTTGGTGACATATCAAACACGATACGCAGAGTTTCATCCAATATCCGGACACCGATAACTTGGTTGAAAAAAGAGTTTTCTAACCTATCCTAAAGGTTCCTAGGTATGGCATGAAACAGTGAGTAGATTAAGTTTTGAATATATGAAAATCATTAACTGTGGAGTGAAGAATTAAATGAAGGATGATCATCGCAGTTATATACGCAACTTTTACAGTTGCGAAAAGAAAGCCTGAAAACACTAGGGCTTGTACGAGATTCGAACTCTTGACTTCTGCGATAGAGCGCTGCACCGGTATCGCAGAGGTCAAGAGTTCGAATCCCGTACGAGCCTGAATTTTCTTCAGGCTTTTTTTTCGCAACTGCAAAAGTTGCGTATATAACTGCAATGATCATCCGTCATTTAAGTGAGTAGATTGTCTGAGATAACTTCTCAGATGAACAACTATTCTTGGAGAAAGACAAAGCTACTAAAGTTCGCAAAATGTTTATGGTAATTAAGAAGTGATATCCAAAGCATCTGACGGTAGTGATTTCCTTTCCTTTCTATTCATATATTATTACTGGTTTGTGAACGGTAATTCACAAATAATGTGAAAAATCGAAGCTTCAACATCCCCCCAGGTATACCCGAAGCATTTGACACCTTTGCCGTCCCGGGGAAGGGGATTTCATGATCAGGATCTTTCGGGGGGTGGGGAATTTGAACCATAGACTCAATTTCATGTGACATTTATACTGTGCACGATGTTATCTATTGCAACCTGTCTGCAGACTCTGGTTCAAGAGCATTAGAAAGCCACCACATAGTAGAGAAATACGGTTTAAATTTCCCCGGGGTGCAAGCACTTGATCACCTAAAATGTATCTGTGATAGGGCATTTGAAAGACTTTTTGGCTCGGGGAAGGGGGAAATTTGGGGGTTGTCCCGGGTGATGTTGAAGCTTCGATTTGACCGATACATAATGACCACTTTTTTGCCGCGTCGGACGAGTTCGCTCTTGTATTGAACTCCCAGCAACACTCACTTCTTAGTTCTACAAACGCCAGTTATAGCTGTTCTGAAGTCTTATTGTTTTGGAGAGGTGTAACTGGATGAATTGCAACTCATAATTCCTCATCTCTATTTTCGAATGTCCCATAGCACACTCAGTTTGCCCCCAAAATGTCGCATAAACCTATTGTCGTCAAATGCTCCTGGGAGGTCGTTAGAAAACAATAACGTATGAAAAATTTGTAGGGCACACAGTGTATTATGGGGGATTCGAATATAGCTAATTAACAAAACTTGCTTTGCGATTTTTTAAATCTTTCGACTTTAATTTGTAGTAATCTCGAAGCTAAGGACTACAAAGGTTGCACTCCACTTCACATCTGCGCTGTCTTCGATCACAAATCCACAGCTTGTTTACTTCTTCAGAATGGAGCAAACATTGAAGCCAGGGATGAAGAAGGGAGTACTCCACTGCACCTTGCTTCAGCCTTCAGTGATGCAGAGGTAGTTAAACTGTTTCTTGAGCATGGTGCAAGGGTTGGTTCAAGGGATTCAGAAGGCAGTATTCCGCTTCACACGGCTGCTGCACTCGGTAGGATAAAATGTATTCCAGTGTTAATTGATGCAAGAAGTGACGTCAACGCGCGTGATGATAATGGAGAGACACCGCTGCACGTGTCTGCAGGCTCTGGTCATCTTGACGTAGTTCGTCTGTTGATGAAAAAGGGAGCAGATTTGTTTGCAGTAGACAAGGAAGGGCGTACACCGAGTACATGTGCTCAACTGTTTGGACACAAAGAAGTGGAAAAGTGTCTACAGGAAAGATCTAGCCTATCACACAAGGGTATTAGTCTTTCATCGGATCTTAAAGAACTGAAGGTTTTTTAGTTATTAAGTCATAGCACTTGTGATGTCGAACTGGTCTTCAAGTTGAAAATGACGAGGGCCATGTTAAACGGACATGACCCTTTGGGTATGTTTCAGGTACAGTGGAACCTCGATATAACGAACCTCTATATAACGACGTCCGCGGTATAACGAACGATTTTCTTTACCCCAGTAATAGTAAAATATATGAAAAAGAGCCTCGATATAATGAAACCTCGTTTTAGTGAACCCATTTTGCCAGTCCCTTGGCCCTTCGTTTTATCGAGGTTCTACTGTGCAAGTCTTCCCCTTCATACAACTTTTGCATCAAACATTTTAGGGGTGCATTTGTACTCTAGCTGTGGCTTACAACGTTCGAAGGAGCGGTCGTACAGCATGTCCCTAAAACATAATTAACAGCTGAAAAATCAGTCACAACGACCAGACTACTTCGCGTTAGTGCAACGGGACAACCACAAAAAGTAAAGTTGTTATGGGTTACATGATTTAAGACCGAAGTAGCGCGCAGATTGCATGAGCCGAGAGAGTGTAGATCATTTTTTAAAAATAGTGACGCGTGAGTTATTGAGCTAATACCCATCCTGGTGTCTGTGACTGAGGCATTGGTGGATTCTAGTTGAGCAGCTTAAAAAGGCCCTGTTTGCACTACGCAAAATTTTGTTTGTCGTGCAATAAATTTTTCTAACAGGAAGCCATTAATTGTGCGAACGATTTTTTCACCTACCAAAATATTCTCAAGTGTCACCAAACTTCAAAGATACTATGGAGAATATTTGAAGGCCGATAATTTTTTGTCATGTGACAAACTCCTTTGTTCGTTGACAGCCATTCTTCGTCGGGTCATCTTATCTCGCGAACATGACCAATTAAAGTTCCTTTAATTGAAGTTTCTAGTTATACGAAAAATTTCGCGTATCTCAGTGACGAAAAAGAATGCAAAAACGAAAAATTGGTGATTACAAAATTTTCAAGTTTTTTGCAAATGCTTAAGTCTATTTTTCGTCGTAGGGCGAACAGGGTCTAACAGATAAATTGTAAAATTACTTTTCCCGTTATGACATTTTAAGAGGAAGTTAGAGGGGAAGTCTCGGGAGAATTCTCCGAAGATTTCGTGTAAACGTATCTTAACACATAAAGAACACTAGGGGACGCGCAGAATGATCTGGAATAATCAAAGAGAAATCAAAGAGAACTAAATCCAGACTCAAAGGAGAAGGCGAACAATAATTAATTATTTTTGAGTAATTGTTCAACTTGAAAAAGTTGGTCTGTCGTTGCCTAGTCCCCAGGCCTAATAATCTCGGCGGTCTTCGCGTTTGGAGTCATGTGGTCCGTCTCGGATACACCACCAAAGGTTTAAAAAATTGAAAGAGAAGGCCTGGGAAGACGTCGCACAGGAACCAGGAAAGGTTGAACGGTTCAAGCGCTCTTCAGCCACAAATTTTAGTAATTTTCATGTTCGAGAATGTTAACGCTTTTATCAGATTTGAGGTAGCTCTTTGTGACTCTGCTCCTTTAATTCATGTACATTTTGTGTGGCGGGTTATAATGTGTGCCTACTTTTATAGGTCGTTTAGATAGAGCCTTTATGTATTTTATGTAAATCTCTTGGGGGATTTCCCCTCATGCACAGTCCAATTAATACCAATTAAGTCCAATTAAGTTTGTTTTCTGTTCCAGCTGGAACCTCATAGCCTGAGAAAACAGCCGACATTTCGCGACGGCACCAAAGGTTTCCTCGCGAAATGAAGTCTGAGGGACGAGCGCTCAAATTCCATACTGATGACATGTGACTACCCTGACCTTGGTAGTGCTTTTGATTGGTTGAAAATTTGCTTCAACCAATCAGAAGAGGTGAGGTGTATACGTGCCCTGAAGAAATACTGGCTTCACTTTTGGATTGCTTTTCATTTATTCTTTGTAGGCATTTAAAGTAAAGGCGAGGTTTATTTTTAGTTAGCCCAATCGGCTACAAGGCTGATTTCAGGGGCGGATCTAGGGGGAGGGTGCAGGGGGTGCGCACCCCCCCCCCCTTGAGATGACCTGCGGTTTTCTAATACAACTGGTATTCAGGAAAAAAAAAGCTATGTGGTTTATTGGTGTTGAAGTAGAGCAAGAGACGAGTGCACCCCCTCCTACAAAAAATCCTGGATCCGCCCCTGGATTTCAGGAGGGGTCCTGCATACACGTTAAAGCTATAAAGCACAATATACTTTAGATGTAAGAATTAACGGTAAAATTTACTTCTATTTCAGAGGAATGGCTATTTAACAATTATTCCTCTAAGTCAATAGCCCATGAGGCCGAATAGGCTATAGGCCTTGAGGGTGAGAGGAATAATTGTTTTAGTAAAATCCAACTACGTAGTTGGTCAAACTCAGAAATATCGAGATAAAACAACTTTAGCCGTATCGAGATAAAACAACTTCAGGCGCCATTGTTTTGGTTTTCAAAGCCGAAGCTCTTCGCTACTAGTGGACTATAACATATAGCGTAGTAGTAGCTCAACCAAACAGAACGCAGCATTGATAATAGACCACAAGTTGGATTTTACTAAATATCTTTGAACTAATAGCGATTTCTTAACAACTGAATTTAGTTCAATTAGGCATAAGATACTTTCTTTGTGGATGTCTTAAAAATGTTAATGTTGCATCCTTGATGATTTGGAGTATCAAAACTCTTGCAATTCAGTACTTAAACCCGGTTAAGGGGTATTTCATTTTTGATTGAAAAATATAAAAAATAATGGTGGATTATAAACCATAAACATGATAAAAGTATTAAAAGGTGGTTATAAAAAGTATTGTTTAAATCCGAATCTCCAAAAACAAATACTCTCATTCTAGTCAGGGTCTTGTCAGAATCAACACTTCCTCTAATCAATCACGTCGTAGGAACTCTTGTCTATGCCAAACAAAGCTTCTATCTCCTCCAACGACTTCCCTTTTGTTTCCGGCATAAGAAGATAAACAAAAACAAAGGCTAGAAATGAGCATCCGCCGAAAAACCAGTAAGTTCCTTGAATTGTGAGAGATTCCTGCATGTTTTCGAAGAAGTAAGTTACAATAAAAGCAAAGAGCCAGTTGGCTATGGCTGCAACGCTGCAGGCGGGACCACGTGCTCGAAGGGGGAAAATTTCGGAGGTGACGAGCCATGGAACTGGACCCCAAGCCAAGGAAAAACAGAGGAAGAATATAATTATACACAAAATGGACAGCCAGCTGATCTTGGATGCTTCTACAGAATGACTTATAGACCCCAGCGCGACTGAAGACGCTTTATCTCCATGCGGCGGTATGTAGATTTCGAAGTATAAACCAAGACCCGCGAGAGTGATTACCATACCTACTGCCATTACTAATAAAAGGATTCGCCTTCCCGCCCTGTCCATGATCAAGCACGCTAAAGCGGTGCCGACGAACTGGACCAAGCCAACTGAAATACTAACGAGTTTACCGTCTTTAAAACCTGCCACCGCAAAGATACTTGCAGCATTGAAAAGAACTGCGTTGATTCCACAGAACTGTTGGAAGAACATTAATCCAATGCTGATGATTAGGGGCTTTGCTAAATAAGGCGATAACCATTCACGAATTGAAGGTTTCTCGTAAGATTCTGCAAATAAGAGGAAACAAATTTAGGTAATTTTTTTCTTTTTTTTAGGTTTTTCTTTTAAAGGTGGGATCGAAAGGGTGCGTAACTCCAATTCTCTTCCCCATCCATTCCTGAGATTTTATGGGCCTTCCCCCCGAACTTCGCGAAGTTCTGCGATACACCTATTTCCACTATTACTTTTAAAGAATTCCCAGTGAAATGAATAGTATCCATATTCAATAGCAAGTGTCCCCTCTTTCTGAATTTTCTGGATCCACCGGCTGCGAATGAAAGAGCGGAAACCGTTAGCGTCCCGCGTAAACGCTCTTTAGGTTTTTCAGCAGATGATGATCAGCGCAACGCGTGACGCGCTAAAAAACCTACGCGTGGGAGTCTACGAAACCATTTGCAAAGTCTGACTCGTCCTTAGTCGTCTCTTGTTATTTGTAATCGGTCACAGAGCGGCCGCGGGAGACTAATACGGCAAATCGGTAAATTGGACGATGGAAAGGTTACCGCGCTTTTCTCGTCAACAGTGATTAATAGGAGACCGAGACAGGGTTGGGGATTAGCCAGTTGCTCAGTGACAAAAAGTATAATTCTTACCCAGACTAGACTCAATGGCCTTGCATTCCTCCTCGATGTCGACGTCAGAACCTCGTAGCCAATGGATATATCTTACAGCTTCACTTCGTTGGTTCTTCCCGAAACACCAACGTGGAGTCTCTGGCATTTTAACCATAAAGATCACAAGCAGAGCTGGAAACAGGCCACCAGCGAGAGCAAGCCACTTCCAATTACAAAAGACACCGAAAACGGTGGCCAATAAAATTCCCATTGTTACTGCTAATTGGTTTACAGAACCAAGCATCCCACGGAGTCGTGGGGGCGAAATCTCGGCAATATACACCTACGAATTAAGAAGGAAGTTAGTATGGTTATTCGTTAATTTTTTGCCCCCAGAAGAATACGCAGTTTTAATAATTACTAGTAGACTGCGAAACAGTCGGTTTACTCTCTTGCTAGTCTCACTCTGTCTGTGTTTTCACCTTCGCTCCACACCTTTTGTACGTTTTTCACCCACGCAAAAATACGGAGTGTTGAATAGAAAATAAAACACAGTTAACAGTTGTTAACTTCTGCATTTTTATATGAACCTGACGTTTAATATTCTGGTTAGCATACATTTTCAAAAGTGATCTAAAGTGACCGTTACAGATTATGACGAGACTATTTACACCTTATTGACGAGGGGTCTGGAAATGAGATTAAGACTCGAATTCAAAATTGTTAACAGTAATATTATTTAAAGCAACAGCTAAGAATGTATCAGCTTTTCATTGAATCGGATTTGCCCGACGCTAAAATGTCAAAACGATCCCACTTCATGTTATGTCCAGTGGCTTTGACCAATGTTTCATGTCACCTCTGTTTGTGTTGTATTTTTTTTATTAAGCTACGATGGCCCAAGAACAAAAGTCTTTATGATACATACGGACTGTTTAGCAGTCTAAATTCCGGTAAGGTACGAAGGTATGTGAGTCTAGGACTTTTTTTAGAGTTAAAAATATGCTAGCCCCTTACCCATCTCACAATTTTTTTCAGCCCTTCTTTTAATAGCCCACGTTCGATATATTAAAATTCTATCATGACTCCAAGGCTTCAGGGACAAAATTGCAAACTTTTCACGATTCCATTTTCTCGCAATTCCCAGAAGAGTCTTGAGCACAAAGAAAACAAAACCAAATATACAAAAAATGACCAGAAAGGCTCGGAGTCATGTCAGAATTTTAATATATCGAACGTAGGATATTACCCGCTTCGTACAGTAAGTAGGAGCTTTAGCAACGATGACGGCGACGGCAGCGAGAACTCCACAAAAGATATAGGTTTGATTAGCAAAACAACAACTTTGCACGTGCAGCACGCTTTTTTGTACATTTCTTTTCCGTCACTGCACGACTACGGCTTGAAAATGCCTAATTTCACGTTTTACGGAGGACGTAAACAAGCGAAAACGAATTTTTCTTTCTGTTTCAAAACTTGAGTGTAGTCCCTAAGAAATCAACTTCACGGAAATTCGCCTACATTTAAGTTGACATTTTCAGTGAACTGGAATAAGCGTGATGCAGTTTGAAAAAACGCGAATTCATTTTAAAAGTGACTTTTTCGCTGCCCTCGCCGTCGTCGATGCTAAAGCTCCCTAGTATCTTACCGGAACGGCAAGTGAGATCACTCCTAGCGCCAAGCCTGTGATAATGCGACCAGCGTACAACATGGCGCGATTCTTTGCCAAGCCAATAAGAAGCCATCCAAGCTCAAAGGGGACTGCGCAGAGTAGTATGGTCCCCTTGCGACCAAATTGGTCAATTGACCACCCCCCTACAGGACCTCCAAATATTGCACCAACTGTAACTAGGGACTGCAAAGAAAATGAGATTGGCAACAAGGTTGTTAGGTTGGCACTCTGTGCCTATTGTGTGGACGATAAGTGAACTTCATCTGAATGTGAATGTTAAAAATTTATACGGTAAACTTTCTTAACGGACACCTCTATTAAAAAGACGAAAACCTGGTGTTTGTCCCTGTCGTTTTTCAATCATTTTACTATATCTATACTCTCCATAAGACGGACGCATCTCCAAGACGGACAATGGACAGTACTGAAACCGCCAATTAACAATTGAGGAGTGCTGTTTGTATTAAAAAATACCTCAAAACGGAAATGTAGGTGTTCTACATGACAGTTAATTGTTTGGCTAGTTACAAAGTAGATGCACCGTTTTTAAGCAACCACATATGTATCTTCTGTTCTTCTGCTTTGCTTTTTCTATTTATGATTACTATTTTTCATTTTCAGAATTATTTCAGGTACGCACGTGTGAACTGATGTATTTTCTAGCAATAGAAAACGTTCCTTTGATGACGCGATAAACGCTAGTCTCCCTGGCTGCCGTTCTTGTCTCGTCACGCAACGCTCCTCCCTTTTGGGGGAGGTGCGTTACGTGACGAGACGAAAGCGGCTGCGATGATTTTCGACCAAAACGAGGTACTTTTTTTTAGTAAGTTTTCTCAAAATACATTTCCTTTGCAAATAAGCCAGCTTGTTCGCTATGCGCAGCGCAAAGTCTGAACGCCTGGCCAACAGGCTGCAAATAAGCATGTCTAATAACGCTATAATACCAGAACGTAAATGTAAACAAAAGGACTTGTTTCGGAATTTGAACTGAAAAATTCTCATTTAATTTTGACTCCAGAACGCCTTAAAAATGGAATGCATCTTCGAAAGACTAGTACAGATATATTGTTTTCGTTTTTATCGCAGCTTTGATACATTTCGGGAAATTTCATTTCACTGAGTAAAGTGTTACAGAAGGGGATGGACTTCTTAAGCTTGTATGTTTTGTTTTCACAATATATGTCATATGAGGAATTTGCCCTTTGTCTTGCCATAAATAACATGTCATAAACACATGAGCAAGACGAAATTTTCACATGACCTTCATGAGGGGAAATTAAAACGTATAAGTAAAGTAGTTTAAGATGACTTAGTAGCTAAGGCAGAATGATTTTGCAAAATTTAGATTTAAAGCAAAAAAGAATTAGAGAAACGTCATGTGATATAGCTCAACGACGGCGCAGTACCTTTTATTAAAAAAGATAAAGATCTGAGTGTAGTTTTCGAAAATTTCTTTCTACTAGAATAAGGGGATGTTTTGAAGCTAATAAAATCATGTAAGGTAGTGCATGGATGTAGGACAGACCAGCATGTGAAAGCTGTGCGGCAAATTCTGCAACCGACGGAGTGCAGTGGGACGGAGAGAGGTTATTTCTAGGGTCATCACTTTCACCTGCTCAGAGACTGAAAACATAGTGATGCAAGGCTCAGCAACCCTACCGTCGATATTAAATACTTGTTAGGAGAAACTAGACAAATTTTGCCTTGTCGGTAGGGGCTGGTGGATTTTGCTTATGGATTTGCTGGTCGAGACAATGTTAGAAAAAGATTGAGTTTTTTTTGGAACCGGGGGAGGCGGGGATGGATCCCATATCTGAGACGGGAGGGATGCTCGTCGCTAAATGAAACCAATTCGAGCATATCTCATGCCTTATTTGACCCCTAAAAGATACGACCGACAGACAAACAGACAGATTGATTGCCATAGAAACGTCTATGTTCTGTTTACCTCTTTTTTAAAATTTTTATCCAGGGGAGTACTCATCATAGTTTTTACGGGGTTGCTCCGCCCCGAGGTCCAACCTCTTACCCTTTTATATACCATTTTTGTGCGAAAAGGTACCCCTGTCGTGTACCTTCTTTTGACCAAATGGTTCCCCTTTCACATTCGCTAACTTTGCATCCCTTTTAACTTCTTAAATCACAAAACTAGAACGTTTTTCACGGCTTTTTCACAGTCTAAAAATCCATCCCTTCTGCTCCTTTTGACTTAGCGAAATGACAGATTTCCCTACCATTTCATATGAAGGTACCCCTCCTCCTTGGCCGTATAGGCCATTGTAGGGAGTACCCCCGGTTCTTAAATGTTTTCTTTTTCTCGTTCGCACATCGACAAACGAAAACCCATACAGGTGAAAATATTGGCGTTTTTCCTGAGCAATTTAAGTCCACAACTCTTAACAAGGCTACGAGCATCTCGCCTATTTCGCATATTGGAGTACCCCAGTTGCGGTTTTTTCTTGTGTTCGAAAATTAACATTATCCATAGGCTGTACTGGTATTCCAAAAATTATACTCCTAAGATTGTAAGAACAAAAAAAGTGCGTAGTTGAAAAACACTAACAACAAAAAATACTCACAGAAAACCAGGATCCTTGTGAATCGGATAAGCGTATTGCAGAATTCGCCTTGGCGCTTTTTAGATCCACAAGCGCGGCTGATGAGTAGCCTAAACAATACCCGAAGCACACCGGCCCCAATGCTGCTATGAGGCAAGCAAGAATAGGTCTTCCAATTCTTTCTTTTTTGTTATTTGCCATTTCAACAAAACTATCCGAAGAAGTCGGAGAAAGTTGTTGATTCTTTCAGGCTTAATTAATAGGGAACGATCTTGTAAGGTGCCGAGGCAAGTTGCTAAAGGTAGCCGATTTAAGGAGATGATAGAATTGGGTTATGTGACTCCCTCGTGATATTAATCAATGCAACATGAGTCAGTTGTCTAGTTGCTCGATCATGCATCAACAACTTAGCAGAGTGTGCTTACAAAAAGATTAAGCCTCATTATTCTTAAGTTTAAATCAAAGAAGAATGAAAAAATATATTTATTTCATTAATCGAAGAAAAAGAAAAAACTATCAGGGTTCATGAACTCACTAGTTCCCTCTATAGCAGGCAAGTATTTGATAGGTATATACTTGAGTAAATGCGCCTTATCATAGTTGATTGGTCTGATGAGATCATTTAAAGTTACGTAACGTTACTTGTCTTTACTTTTAGATAGCCTGCGTGGCAGGCGTTCGAAAGGGAAGCGAAAGGGAATTAGGGCGCGAGACCACGCGTCCCTTCCCTGTCAAACGCCTGCCACGCAGGCTAACTTTTAGAAAAAAATAAGTAGATTTACGTTGTTTTCATCTATAAAAATTGTATTGTATTCTTTTGTCTGCTCATTTTCTATTCAGTTGAGAAATTCTCAACTTGAGCCTTGCGTCTAAAATCTCTCTATTGTCGCGTCATGCAACTCTCCTGAAGCGTTGTGCGCCAAGACAATAAACGCCCGGATAAACGGCCGCGTATAAAACTAGGCATTCAAAATCGTGGAAATTAAAGGAATCGCCCGATGCCCTGAGTGCCAGCAATTTCTCCCATATGCCTATCCCGAAGTATCCCGCCGCGCGCCACAAAAAGGGCCTACTTTTGAGGCGTGAAAGAACGCAAGAGAACCCGATGGGAATCCGTTTTTCGTAGTAAGCCAATCTATCTCTCCTCCGCAGCCGAAGCCCTTTTTGTGTTGAAGGGAGGCTGGAGAGAGGGAAAAATGAAAGCGCGCGGGAGACGATCGTCTTTTCTCTCTTTCCTATTTTTAGCCTCTGCGTAGGAGAGAGAGCCATTTTTTGTGAATGATCACGCAAAGCACATCCTGACAAAGGTAAGAGGGGGGTTACGCGACGCGACAATGCGTAGGAGACTACCATACTAACGAACGCCTGCCAGGCAGGTCTTAGAAAGGAAGGCTTGATACTTGAAAAACGCGTAGAAACACATTAAACTGATCCCCGTGACAAGAGGTTGAACGGAACACTAAGAACCCTAACCAAATTATAGTGGGTTAGGTCTAGCCCCACGATTATAATTTCGTCCCACGTAAGAGAATCCGGGTAATTTTAATAGAATCCGGAATCCTGGGCTCTGGAATCCGGAATACAGCTCAAGGAATTAGGGATCCTATTAACGAATCCAGAATCCAAGTTCCACTGGCAAAAACTAGAATCCGGAATCCAAGACTGTCTTGGATTCGCTTACACAGGGCGAATAAATCTCCCGAAAACAATTGACTGTGTGTGCGAAAGCCCGCGAAAATTTGCTCTGTTCGTCACTACTGGAATGCCTTCTTTCTCTAGATTCTGATGAGTCCAGACTCGAAGCGCCATACACATTTTTCAGACTGATCTACCTCCATATTAGTCGAGAAAAGTTGATAAAATAATGTTCTCTTTTGCGATCATTTCATTAATGTTCATAACCTTTTCTCCATGGTGTGTAAAGGGGGTACCCGATCACGCATCACGCTGAGTTTGTTAAGCTATCACGCACCACGGAAAAATAGAATAAAATATCACAAGTATCCTATTATTATTTGATCTGAGGAAATCAGAGGTCGAGGAACGAGAAAAAAGGGCAAGAAGTTGGCGTCATAACTATTTATTTTTAATGTCTCCGCTTCTTGTTTCAAATGATATTTATCATCAAGGAAATTTCAAAGGAAAATCACGGGTCACGCGTTGTGAAAATAGTAGATCACGCATCATGCTACAAATTGGGGCCCGATCGCGCATCACGCTGATAATTTTGGTCCTATCACGCGTCACGGAAAAACCTTTGCCACCCTGTTTCTCTTGATAATGGATTGATATTGATGTTGGTCACTAGGTGCAAAGGATGAATCTGTGAGCGGTACTGAGATACAGGGCTCTTGGGTGTTGGGCTCTGGATGGATGCCATAAACTGGGCAGCTTGCCGCTAATGTAAAATGCAAACACGGGATAACATCATAGTCGGTCAGAGCATCAGTAGTCTACATTAAAAATTCGCAGTGAAAATATGCTGGTATGCTGGTTCTAATTTTTTTCCACCGCGCGCTTGAACCCAAGCCCCTCACGGGCAATTGAACCATGAATGTGAGTTTTTTCGACCTCATTCGATTGCTTCGAGAGCAACGCCAAACTCTTCTAACAAATGTTCAACAATCTGTAGGGTCATCCTGCATATCACATTGAATGACGAGGTTCAAAAGGTATGCCGCAATTCTTTGTAAAATTTGAAGCTTTATATTATAATTTGCGAGTTATGTCTGGAATATAAATCTCGGTTCACTCCTCTTGTTCACTTTCGCTTTTGCAGACTGTATATCATAGAAAAGCTTTATTTAAGCTTATTATTATGCTGTAGTTTGCTTTTCGTGTATTTAGTGCTTTATTGCATGACATCTATCATCTGTAACAATCTCTTAAATCATTCTAATATGGCAGAAGGCCGTATTCTTTTTCTCAAGACATGTCATGTCCGCTGGTCGATCGGCTGTGTTCATACAAAAATAACTTAAGTGAATAATTTATTCATGGCTTAGCTCTCATGCTCATGTCACGCTCCTGTACCATCGCAACTGTTTTTTAATAAGGTATCAATCCATACTTCGAATTTGGAATCTTAGAAAAACAAAAATAGGTGAAGCAAATGCGATGGAAGAGGGTTTTCTTCGGCGGATAATGTGTCCACAAGAACATCAAGATCAAACTATTTACGGTTTGAAATGCATTTCCCCGTCGCTTTACTTATCGATGGGAATTAACTTCTCTTATTTTGCTTTATGATCTTACTGAAATATAACAAATTAAATTACAGCAAATGAAATAAGTGGTAAAACTTTGTTGAGATTTTTGTGGATTATGTTGTTTTGGGGACTGCATTATGCCCACGGTGAGCCAGACTGTCTTGTCGCAACCAGACGTCACGAACACGTCACGCATGAACCACAGTGGAACCTCGATTTAACGAAGTTCCAAGGGACTGGGGAAATGTGTTCGTTATATCGAGGGTTCATTATATCGAAAACCTCGATTTTACGAATTTTTGGAAAAAAGGGCAATATGTTCGTTATATATCGAGGTATAGTTGATGATTAATTTCCAATGCACATTATATGGCCTTTACGGGGATGTGCCCCTGGACAGGGAATGGTTTTTGACCTCTCTGTCCTGAACAGGGTATATAATTTTGCGCAAGTCTTTCCTAATTATTAACAGGAATAAATTTGTCTGTACTCCACTACACAAAAGCAATGACTATAAAGTGAATTTAATCTATTGCAATTGCCAATAAATGGCTGAAAAACAGGACAGTGTGCATTTTGTCCTTTGTCCTTTACAAGGTAATAAATATGAGGGTGTTGCCCTAAGCAGGGAATGTATTTTAGGATTTTATTTTGTCCTAAACAGGGTCAGGGTTTCAAACCCTCAGCGGCTCACCTATACCCAAATAAACATAGGTCGACTACCCCCCGGGTATGCATGTTTACTTCTTAAGTAGCCATTTTATTCACAAAAGGTAACAAGGTAATGGCACCCCCTCAATATTAAACGAGAAGAGAAAGATGACCCTACCTCGCTATTGTAGGCAAATTCTTATAAAACGTCAGTGTCTGTTTTTTTTTTTAACCCGGCTACACTGTACCTTAGGCAATGTTAAATGTTTAGCATACTAGGCTTTTTACCCCCTCTCCTAGCCTGTGTAGTAGGCGCCGGTTTTGTTTTTGTGAGTTCTTTTTAGCACACGTATCCGTTATGCTGCTTTCAGTTTAGATGGATTTTGAACAAACCCAAGTTATCAACGATTTAGAGGAGAACGAAGAAGAAAATGAAAATGAAGAGGTAATTTAAAGGAAATGTAAAATGATAAACATATGGCACCAGGATGATCTGCCTTCTGGGACCGCCTGGTACTAGGATCTAGCTCTCCCTCCCTCCACGTAAACAACCCGTAATTGTTTGAGTACAAACAAACTAGCATGTGTCATTCGATTGTGCTCCACGTTTTGGTAAGATGTGCAAAAATCAGGCTTTGTTTACAAAACTTTTCACGAAAACGTCGTTTTTTTTATCACAAATAAACAACAAAATTTTCTTACCATTAAAAATGTCTATTTCGTATTTTATGGCCGCTTTAGTTTTTTTCTGGACTAATTATATTCGTTGATCTCCTTTCTCCCAGGTTGCGCATCTGAAAGTTTTTTCTCAGCAAGGGTTCAAAGGAGCAGTATTTCCAATTTTTAGAGGTATGTTATTTATATTTGTATCAGTATTTTTTTTTTGCTTTAACTGCATAGCAAGCGTTTTAGCGCAGGTTCGTCAAGAAAGTTGGAACAAGAGCGAAAAATAGAGATAAAAGAGGACGGGAGAAGGGGAGAAAAGGAACGCTTGGCCGAAACTCCACGATTCTGAAACTGCTTTCTCCCACGAACGCAGCTTGTGATTGGTGCGGCGTGGGAGTGTTGATTGAAAAGTGAAAGTTTTTCTCTTCTCCCCTCCCCCTCCCCCCTCTTCTTCCCATTTTGGCTCTCGCTCGAACTTTCGCCCAATACCTCGATCGGAAGCCCTTGCTTAGACTTTCTCAAAGTCCTTCGCTTCTCATTTCCGCTTTCGCTTCGCGCTCGTGACAAAAATTTGAGCTCGAGTTGTAGGGAAGTCTAGCCCTTTCTATGTCGGCTACCTCTACTTGTATGAACTTTTGTATTACATTGCAATATCTTTTTTACACTTTCCTATACTCTTTTTTGTACTTCTTTTGATAGGAGAAAATATTATTGGAAGGAGTGAAACATGTAACATAACCATCCTAAATGAGGTGAGACTTTGCCTTCTTGTACAAAGGTTGTCGAGTTAATTAGTTGTCCGATCTAAAACTGAGTCTCATATTTCGCTTAAGTGTCTACAAGGCTTTTGACTATGGTCTCTCAATAAAACGTGGATAACTCTCCTTTCTATCTATTTATTTACCCAGCAAAACTTTAATATCAAGCAACAAATTGGGTGCTAAACTACTATGACACTTGCATTGAATGAAGTCGTTTTTCTTCATTTGCTATATTTTTTTGTGGAATTTGCTTGATAACGTCTCTTTTCCGTTGCTACCCTTAGACATTGTCCGGTGCAAAGAAAAAAAGAACGAAAAACAAACAAACCAACAAAGAAACATTTAACAAAACCATAGCAACAACAATAAAGAAAAAAATCCGATTTGCTCGCTTGCGTTTTCCGGCGAATTGGATTGCCATCTAGTTAAACATTGTTTTTACGTTGTCTGATTCTACGTGCAACCGGACACAACATCTCACAGCATTTTTGGTCCTAGAATGTTGGGCGTTGTAAGATAGTGTCGGCAGTGCTGTGCATTTCTTAGTTGCCCAAAGCCTCTGTTTCAAAGTGAGGCCAAGTGCAATGCCTTTGATATGAAAGTGATTTGTATTCTCATGCAAATGAAACTCATTATCACAACAAAGGTTGTGCACTTATTCTCGTTTTGAAATTAAGCGTTTAAAGAATCGAGCGACAGTACTGTGACACACGTGGTTGGTGTTCAAGAAGACCATGTGTAATGCGCCTGCGTGACCCTAACAATGTTGGAAGCACTGTGCAAACGGATCCAACGTTGTTACCTTACGCTTCGGGGGTCGCGGAACAAAATGTTGGAGTGTTGGAATGTTGGGAGCTGTTAGTTTCAATCTTTGCGCAACAACTCTTAGCAAGACGCAACGACACGTTATAGGGTGTGCAATTGGACGCAATGATTATGTAATACCCAACATTGTTGCGTTTGTTCGTGCGGAGCTTGAGACTACTGCGTTGGGCTAAATTTTTTTACTTATAATTTGGTGTTACGACACTTTCGTCCACACGTATCCGTTTTTGTTCGGAAACTGAGATGTTTTACTTTGTTTTCCAAAAAATCGGCGTCCACACGCTGCGTTTTTTAATCGTTTTTGCCCTTCCACACGAAAACGCAATAGTGACAGCACTGATTGATGGAAGCATGCGCATACACTGGTAACTGTGCTGGATCCAACACCGTGATGTAATCGTTAGCTAAACGGCGTTTTCAAAGCTGTCCACTCTGGAGAGCGTTTTTGAAAAACTGCGTTTTCGGTGATCGTTTTCACCCGGATACGTGTGGACAGTAAGTAAAACTGGAGAAAATACTCTCCATTTTCAAACAATTAATATAAAACAACTCCATCCAAGAGTGAATTAAAACGTTTATTTTATTAAACATGTGTTTGAAAGACCTTGTCAAAGAAGCATGCTTGCATTTCTGTAAATGCGGAAAGAAACCTTCATCTCATTCACGATTGTCAAAGCACCAACGGAACAAAAAAAGGAAAGGTATTGTGCAATAGTTTAATGTTTCACTAACAATGTTTAAGTGATCAAATTGGTTGCATATCCACCTTGTTGTTCTTCGTCTTACGTCATGATCCCTGATCGAGTTGGTTTTTAAGAAGAGTGGAAAACCTGAGTAGCCGAAGGAAAACCCGTCAGTTAAAGAAAAACAACCAACTGCAAAAATTCCATCCATATAGGCGTCGCCCGAATCCGTATAAGGGAGTTTTAGCATCAAAGACGGCTACGGCAGCGAAAACGTCACTTTTAAAATGAATTAGCGTTTTTCAAACTTTATCACGTTTTTTCCAATTCACTGAAAATGTAAAATGTAGGCGAATTTCCCTGGCGTTCATTTTCTTGGGGACTGCACTCAAGTTTAGGAAGAGAAAGAAAATTTCGTCGTCGCTTGTTTACGTCCTCCATAAAACGTAAAATTAGGCAATTTCCCGTCGTATTCTTGCAGCAACGGCAGAGAAATGTACAAAAAAGCGTGATGTACCTGCAAACTTGTTGTTTGCTTAATAAACCTCTCGCTGTTTTGACGTTCTCGTTGTTGTCGCCGTCGTAGACTATTAGGGACCTTACGATCCAACAACGGCGACGTCCATGAAAACGTCACTGAACAATAGACTCCGCATCCTTTCAAAGAAGGGAATTTAGGTTGGAACTGAAGAGAGGGGGCCACGCCGAGTTCAGACAGAGATGGTAGAATTAATCGCCTTGCCGTTCCCGTCCTCAAAAAAAACTTAAAATTTGGTCATAGTTGTGCAGCGACCGAAAAGAAATGAACAAAAAAGCGTGATGCACGTGCAGAGTTGTTGTTTTGCTAATAACTAAACCTATTGCTTTTTGACGTTGCTTTTGCCGTCACCGTCGTAGTTTCGTAAGGTTCATTTTTTTAATTAGAGAACGACAAAAACGTAATAGGTTTAATGAACCAAACGAAACTTTGCACGTGCCTTCACGCCATTTTTGTACATTTCTTTGCTGTCACTGCACGAAAACGACATGAAAGTGCCTAATTTCACGTTTGGTGGAGAACGTGAACACAAGAGAACGACTTTCTTTTTCTTTTCCTGAATTTTGAACAGTCTTTAAAAATTCAAATCCTGAAAAATTTGCCAAATTTTGAATTCAACGAGATGGAATAAGCGCGATAAAGTTTGAATTTGCGCGAATTTACTTTTTAAGTGCCATTTTGGTAGCCGTCGCAGTCGTTGTTGCTTAAGCTCCATGTTGGTTGGAGGCGAGTGTTCTTGCTACTGAGCCATACTTAAGTCTCACCATTTACATTCACTTCTGTAATTTGTCTCTCATTTAACAGTCTGAAAATTAATCAAATTAGACACGATTTGTTAAAAATTGATCTTCAATGGAGGATAAAAATCCTTGGAACGGTTATGGAAAATCTTCCTTCCACATCCTAAGTTATCAAATGTTCAGATGTAGCATAATATGCACTTCTCTAGCCACTTGGATACCGCGACTGGCCCTCCCCTCCCCCCTCCAAACAATGTTGGGATGAAGAAACACCTTTAAGACAGGTACAGTGTTCAGGGGTGCACAAACTACAACATTGCTTGGGGGAGAGGGGGAAAGGGGGAAAAATTAAGATAGATCGTGTTAATTGTCCTAAGAATTTTGTTCTCCATTTTTGATTTAGTAACGTATCATTTTTATCGATCGGTTACTCGGGAATCCTCCAACGACTCAAAATTTTTAATGTGAGGAATCACATGGTTTTGATCGTACCTAGGAAAATACGTTCAATTTCTAAATAATTATTGAGATTGCTGGCAACAGTGCAGAGTAACTGTTCAGTGGAGGGAAGGTATAGTTTGGGCAAATTGCTCATATATTTCAGTCAGTATTTCAAATATATTTGATGTCTGGCTGGTTCATGATTATTTTTGCAGTCTTTATTGGTGCCTATCTTACGATATGAACTTAAGCACGGTGATATGCTGACATTTGGCATTCTGGAATGCCAGTACTTAGTAGGAGGCGATGTAGATATGGTGAGTAAAATATATTACGTCAGGTACTTGGTAGATAGTTTATCTGAGGGATATCTCGCAGCCTTAAGGCTGAATTATACGTTTGCAGAAGTTAGGAAAAACATCAAAATGTATGATGCTAGTGATTTAAAAATCAATACTGCAGGACCAGAAAAACGACTGCTTTTGCATCGAGGAACTGAGAACTTCCTAGGTCTTCAACTAAGATATTCACCTTCTAGCTATACTTTATGAAGTGTGTGATCCGATTTACTAGAAATTTCAGGGAGTCGTTGAAGAAAAATATTCTTGCGTGGTGTAGTTAAGGCCATCCAGACGTATTGTGGCTAAGGCTTGTTGTTATTTCGCACCCGGAAAGATAATTCTAGGAACGGGCCTTTCCTGACTGCTTTTTAGTCCCAGTTCTTTCTTGAGATATTTAGGAAAGAAATAGTAAAATATCAGAACTGCGTAGTCTAACCCTTATGCATCTCACTTAGAACAGTGCTAGATCAGTATTTTTTGAGGCATTTACTAGGTGTGTTGTATTTGTTTAGTTTAAGAGTGAAGAAGATGAAACTGTCTCGGAATCGGATTCAGATTCCGTGCTCCCTGACGTAACGGTCGACTTAAACGTTAAAAAGGTATTTCTAATTAATGTTACGTTTAAGTGAGTTAACGTATATATTATGTGCCAGCTTTATCACTAACACGGTTACTATTTTATTAGGCGTGTAAAAACGCAGAGTTTGAGTCAGTTTCTTTTAGAGATAAGGTGGTCGCATTTATGACTAAAAAGCCGGTTGTGAAATTTTCAACTGAGGATCTAATTGTTTCTGAAGGACAGGGCAAGTGAGGCTGGTTCAGGCACAGAATCAGAATTAGCAAACCAAGATGAGGACACAAGGGAGGAGCTTGAAACTAATATGGTGAGTTATTTGTTTGTGTTTTGTTACATTTATGTCAGGGAGGGCTTTCTTGGTGTGCAGTGTACAGGCGACTCTCTCTTAACGGACACCTAGAGTTGGTCTCTTCTTTTCTTTACTCCCTTTATTTGACTCTCTAAAAGACGGACATCTTTCTCAGACGGACGTACACACAAAGGTGCCCGTCTTAGAGAGAGTTGAGACTATACGTACCCGTTAATTCTCATGGCTAGATACAAGGTACATTATTGTAAATATATTAATTTCTTCAGGACTTGAGAAGTGAAGCTGGATCAGAGACGGAGTCAGAATCGGTACTCCTACCTTTAATCTCAACCCGTATTCAGCATAAAGTTGTTCTTCTTGTAGTGCTAACTGTATTCGCCATAGGTTTCTGATTACAGTTCTTGCATTAAAGCTCTTAATTTGGGTGAGAATACCCTTTCAGATAGGAGATAGTCCCTCAGCAGTCTTCTATTTGTGCGTCATTTTTCACAAATGTGTTAGCGTAGCATTTTAAGGTTAAATTAGACCAGCGCTTTGTGAAGCGAGTTGTGTGGTCACGAATGACTTCAAACTTTCAGATATAAAACTAGAGGGCTCTAACGCTTACTTGCTGAAGTTAGGGAAAAATCCCTCATGGGATTTCGAAATGATTTTATTTTTCTGTAAAAATACAGTTTTAAATATATGCCGATATCTCAAACGTTTTTATTCCTACAAGAAAATAAATAACATTGTCTTAAAGTTCCACTATTCATCAGTAAGGATGCCAAAAACCATACAAATCCGTTAAACCTTTGCTACTCAGAAATGCGATTCAAAAACATAACCAGGACGCATGTAAATAGGTTCGGGCCACCTACGTCAAATAAACTGATTAAAGAAAAGAAGGGGCCATCTTTGGGTGTCTCTTTTACCGAGCTGTCCGTTTTATAGAGGTGTCCGTTAAAAGAGAGTCGACCGTATGGTTAATGTAATAAAGAAATTTCTAAACTCAGCCATGACACCACTCTCCTGTAACAAAATCACGAAGGTAATCTTTTGCTACGTTTTATACCATCCTATGACACTGACAGCCGGGACATCATAACAAAGGATCAACAGTTATCCATATGACTTTGCAGTTTTGTTGCTTAGGCCTTGAGCCTTAAAATCCAAAAACGTTAATTGAAACAGCTGTATACCCGTTTAATTACAATGGCTCGAAACAAGGTGCATTTTTAAAACGAATTATTTCGTTAAGGATGGTGGAAGTGAAGGTGACTCGGAGACGGAATCAGAATCGGCACTTCCTCAGGAAAGCGCGAAGGACGAACTTGAAATGAATGTGGTAAGTAAGTTGCTTGTGTTTTGCTGTATTAATTGTAGTCCAAACTGTTTTAGGATGTAGAGTGACAGCACTTGATATTTCAAAATTGTTGTACGTAAAGGCTCGTGAAATTTGAAACAATTTTGAAATATCTCGAGTGGTATTTATGCCAAATTGCACGTACAAATCCTGCTATTATTTGTTTATACTACTACCCGCAAAAGGTTTGTAATTTTCACATGTAGGTATTTCAAATTAAGCTGAAATACCACTGCTCTAAGCCAATCAAATTACAGAAATTTCTCATGTAGTAGTATAATGTATAATGAATTGTTCTATTAAGGACGAGGCAAGTGAGGCTGGCTCAGAAACAGGATCAGAATCGATACTTCCAGATGCCAGCATAAATTTAAGGGAGGAACTAGAAAGTGAGAAGGTGAGTGACTTTTTGAGGTTTTCACTAGATGTATATCAGGCGGGCTTCTCAGGTAGGAATGGATGTGAAAACGATGGGTAAAATTTATAACTCGTGACCTTGAAAAAGAAAAATCCTGTCATTGTCTGGTTAGGTCCAGGTGGTCTTTTGGAAAACAATGTTATTCGGTTGAATTCTTCTTCTTCTTTTCATCATCGTCATCGTCATTATCATCATCATCAGCAGCAGCAGCATCGGCATCATTGTCGTCGTCGTCATCATCGTCATCAATGTTATTGTTACGGTTTTAAAGTGATTAACTTGGCACAAAAGCTATTTGCTAATAAGGTTATTTCCTTTTCTGTTGACCAAAAAAAGACTATCGTTTTAGCTAATATGGAATACTTAAGAAATGTTATAATGAGTTGTTTTATAACGTGTGTGTGACATACTATACAGGCCTACTTTACTTTCTGGTTAAGGGCATTATCTTCAATTTGATCGCATGTTCAGAAGATCATAATCGTATCCCTGTGCAATTAAGCACGCACGCGCAAGTAACCGAAAAACATGACGGTCCTAAGACAGTCCTGAAAGTCTCGTACTCTAGCAAATGTTTTCGCCGGCAGTTGAGAAGAAGAACAGTCTCAGATTCTTCAAATATCAACACTTATTTTCGGTTCATTTAGACATGCGACTTTTTTTACGCTTGTATATGTACCCCAGGGCCGAGTTATTCAAAAGGAGGATAGCGCCGCTATCCAATAGATAGGTATTTGGAAAACCAGTTTCGTTATCCACTGGATAGAGAACAACTGGGGTGTGAAGGCCAACAAATAAACCATTCGAGGCTAGAAAATCCACTTTTCATCTTGCCTGATTGTATTACAAATACAGGTTATTTATGCCACTGCTATTTTTCAATTTATTTGTATGTAAGGACGAGGAAGATGAAACTTCTTCCGAAACAGGATCAGACACAATACTCAAGCACATCACTAGCGAGAAAAACCTGGACGATGATGTGGTATGTAACCTCATTTAAACTTTCGTGAAACGCAACCTAAAAATTAAAAGTGCTGAAATAAACTTTTCTGAATTTCTTGGTCTAGGTGTATGACGTATTTGTCTGCGTTGATTTGTACATGTTACTTTTTTACATACGCTTCTGTTGACGCTATCATATGGTCCTCTGAAGGTCGATAAAGCGACTATTTGAGCCCAGAGAATCCTCTGTTCTCCTAGTCTGATTCCATTGCAAGGTATTTATGTCGCTATTTTTCTTCAGTGTATTTGTATTTTGTATGTAAAGGACAAAGGAGTTGACACTGCTTCAGAAACAGGATCAGATACCACGCTTCAACACATTGCTAGCAAGGAAGACCGGGACAATGATGTAGTAAGTAGCCTGATATGAATTTCATTACCAAGTAGTGCTCAGGGTAGTGCTAATATGAATCTGAATTTGCATTGTGATAGTTTCAATTCTACTACTTAGTTATGTATCATGTAACGTGGACCAGGAGCCGATTTACGGGAGATGTCACATAAAGCTGATCGACAGTACTTTTTGTATTGATGTTTTTAGCAGAAGAACTGACGGAAGAACTGCAATACAAAATACGTTAACTGAAGAGCTGCAATACAAAACTGTTACTCCATTTTGGGGTTGGGTGTGGGCCTGACTACCTAACTTTTAAAGGCCCATTGTCAACCTTGATGCAACGCGGTCGTTAGTTTTTGTTTTGAGATCGCGCTATTGAGAATGGCGCGCTCTGGTTGGTCAACACTTTTGCCAGGCTTTCTTGCCAAAAGACAAAATAGTCAGTGCTAGTCAGCTGTGGTCGCGTCGGCGTTATGTCTTTCCTCATCTGACAAATGGTTCCATAATTCGCCCGCAAAGTCAGTAAATATGTATTATTTCTCATGGAAGTGGATGAGTTTCTTTCAGGTTTACCTGAAAGGAACGTGTACAACTCCGTGAGATGCCGAGATAATGTGACAAAATATACACGATCATTCAAGTTTATAACATGTAAGCCACCGTGAATGTGCAAGGAACCGTTTTTATTTTTCAATCAGATCTGTGCTAGATGATGGCATTTTGAACAGGCAAAGTTTATTGAATGTATTCTCACGGCTACCAAAAGCGTTTGATACTTACATACCAAAAGGTCAAAACATAAGCTTAACTTGTTCGGGAAACTTGTTGAATATTATACCTTAGTCTTGAATAAAACTTGTAACGATAATCCAATGTTATGAAAGCAAAGAAGGCTACTCAGGAGAAAATGTACCGTGAAAATTCATGAGGTGAAGGCAAACAACGCTTAGGAGAATTATATATAATAAGCTCACATTTTTTTACAGGTTCGTCGCAAACGGCTCGGGTGAAAGAAGTGCTTTGGAACAGTAGCGCGGCTGACAATTGTTTTGAACGGATAGCCCGAGCCGTTCGAACGGATGACGATTTTTTCGAACGAACAGCCCGAGGCGTTCGAAAGGATGACAATTTTTCTCGAACGTATAGCCTGAGACATTCGAAAGGATGACATTTCTTTTTCGAACGGACAGCCTTAGCCGTTCGGACGGATACCAAATCTTTGGAAAAGCCTTTTACAACTATCAGTAATTTCGTGTAACCTGAAATTCGCTGGATTTGTGTTAGCGTCGCGCAATGCGTCAAGGTTAGCAATGGGCCTTTAAAAAGTCACTGTCATGGAAACAAGAACTATAGACCATTGGGAAGATCTTGTGTCTGTCCCGCTATGCGCCAGTTGGTGCGAAGGACAGTGATGATGATTCGCCACCCCTAATAATGATTATCGTTCGTGGCAAATTTTTTTTTTCTTTTCATTGGCTGAGAGCCCACCACGTGACCTGCAAATAACTGCCCACAAATAATGGTCGGCTCATTTGCAATGTCGTCCAACTGTGTTTGGCTGGAAATAATATTCTGCTCATACGTAAACCACGCCTTCTTGCGATCACTCTTGCGTGGAAATGGCAGATCACTTCGCTTCCCGAAGATATTCATTAAAAACAAACTCGGTGATCGCATGATAAAATAATTATTGAACTCGATCATCACAAAATATCAAATCACGATATTTTGCTCAACCTCGTCCACTAATTGTTAATCAGGGCTGGACCTTATTTCAAGAAGACCCGTCGGAGTAGCAAATTTAGCGGTCTAGGATTGATTTTTGCTATAACCTTTAGCTGAATTTGTTTCTCGGTCTTTTAGAATTCAAATTCTCGGTCATGCTTGTGACTCCTGCTAGTTGGGTTTTTGTGTGTTGCATTTGTATTTATTTGTTTCGGATTATTTGAGCGAAGCGGCTGTATACTAAGTACATCAGCTAAGTGTATTTCACTAGAAACAAAGCATTTACCTTCCTCTTATTTTATGAAATTTTCGCGACTTTCTAGTCTGTCATTATTCATCACATGTCGGTTTTGCGCGAAGATTCAAACATGATAATCCTAAGTGGTAACATTTCAGGGAAACGCTTTGCTTTCATTTTATTGTTGTTGGTTATTCATTGTTTAAGGAAAGTTCGCCGGAAATGAGCCAGGACTGCAAATGGTGTTCACGGTCTCGTTTCATGAGAAAATTGCTACCAGACTATGTAAATAAACCTCTTTGTGAATGGCATGAAGTGTTGCTGGATCTTTGCTATTGTTTTAACTGTGTTCAAGAATATCACAGGCTCGCGGAGGAATTAATAGAGCAGAAGTCAGAACTCAAAAAAGTAAGTAGTATTTTGTCTACTGAATTACGCTACATCAATTGTCTGGAGTTAAAAATCCCTTATTGTGATTGGTAAATGGCTTGGACCCTTACTTTTGGGAAAAACCGGCAGACTGAGTTATTGACTTAAATTGCGCGTTTTGCATTGATTATGCTCACACAATGTTGTAGCGCACATGATAAGCCAACCACATAAAGGATTCGGGAGAGAAATTTTCCTTGCGGGAACAGCGCGGGAAATCCCGAGCGGGGCAATCTTACCGACTCCGTTGGCAATTCAGAACGCAGCATTCGCTTCATCTTGCGCGCTCGCGGATTCAGCCATTTACTAAACTGGATTATTGCCTGGTTACCCGCAGAAGATTAATCTGGAATGTTGCTGTCTATTTTTGTTATTGTTGTTGTTTGACGTAAGTTTAACTTGCATGCCCCAGTGAATTCATGATGAAAGACTCTTTTAGTTGTATACAGTGCGCAGTAGCAGCAATGGCGCGATCACAAAAGCTACGTATTGTGTTGCCGTACTCAACTTAATATTTCGCTTTAGAACTTCCAGAAGTTGGATATCGACCGGCTCACTCAAGCAATAACACAAGCCTTAGCAAATGCGGTCGATAAAAAGTTGTTTGATCCGTCATTACAGGTTTGTTTGTTTGTTTTTAACCTATTACCATCTTGTTTAATAGCACTCGTAACTAGAAATAAAAGCCCCCTTTGCTAAGAGACTAACAGATTGGAACAGAACAACATCGATCGGTGATAGCGCGTTAGTTTTGCTGACGTCAAACTGAGAAAGCAGTGCCTGAAGGTGCTATAGACGACAATTTTTTTTCTGGTACATAGTATTCCTACGCTTCGTGGTTTGCTGTTTTCCTATTATCAGGCCTTCTCTTGGCGTAACTTTATAATATTTTTTTGCAAAGGATGCTGTCAAGAGGTTGCAAGTTCACCTCATGGAGCTGTTGCGCTACCCATATCTTCTACATCGTGCATGTCTGGCTGACCTGTTTATCAAGGGAATTATCACTCTTAACCAGTGCGGTTCTCCACTGAGGCCGGAAGAAAAGCTACCGGGTGCATATCTACTGCTGGTTCACCCTGATATAAAGGTTGGAGCAAATCAAGCGATCTTAGTTTTCTTTTACATTGTTCAATAAAATAATGTTAACAAGAAGTGTCTCAGACAAAGCTAAAACCATCTACACTTACTTTGAGTCACATACGTCCCTAATTCCCCAATTACCTCCTATCCAAAACTTCAATGGTCATCTCATGATCAATATTTTACATTTATTTCCAGATTCGTGCTTGGGCAGTTAGATGTGTGAGAGACTTGGGTCTTATCAGTCCGGATGATTATGATCTCCTGGCTAACGTTATTGGGTGGATGATAAATGTTGTTCAGTTCAACTTGTTTGAAAACATAGATGAATTATCACCAGAGAACACAGATGCTGAATTACCTTTCGATTTTTTACCTCCTCATCTATTCATATCGCTTACCAGAAGAGAGTATTGGCTGGGTTTATTTGTCTTGCTGCGGCAGATGGATGTCTCAACGGTGAGGACACGCTTCACTGATTCTACTGAGCATGCAACGTTCCTGGGAACAGTGTTGTCGTTAATGGGAACTGAAATAAGAGGTAATCTTATCTACTTCGATTTGTTTACGTTCATTGCTTTATTAGGCTATTATCATCATTCACCAACTCGGAAGGCCCTACATATCATTTATATATTGGTGTCCGCAATGACGTCATCAAGCACCAACAAACTTGGTCCGTTGATTTGACTGTTTTTTGGAGCCGTATTGGCGATCAGGAAATTGTTTTGGCGATGATTTCGACGGCAAAAGTATTTTAAAGAGAATATTGAAGCAACTGGACCAGAAGTTTCAAAATAAGTGCAAAAATCGAGGTAAAAGGACATTTGTCAGTGCGTCTCACTGACGACTTTGCTTAGGTCGCCGGTTATGCCTGTTTGTAAGAAGTGCAAGGGTTTGCGAGATATGTATTTATAGTAATTTAATCGAATTGTTGAAAATAGCATCTTCTTTATTTGTAGAGGAGGGTGCTTTCTGGCCAATGTTGCAGTGTTTCGTGGTTTTGCTTGAAAGGCTAGAAAACGGAATTTGGCAATTATCATCTCTTGATTTCAAACCCGATGTCCTGTTTAACTTCATAACAACACATTGCGTCTTCACCAAGTATATCCAACTATGGCAGGATGAGAATGAACTACTCTGCCGACAAGACGACGTACAAGAGATATCGAGCAGAGATTTCATGAGAACTGAGGGGGTGTCTTCTTCCCACCTTTCCAATGGCCGTTTTCGTAACACAGCGTTAGCGTGGCTATATCCTTTTGTTCAGTCCCTTCTTGACTTTGATACTGGTGGAGATAACATATCTGAGGTTATCAGATATCTTCATAATATGGCAGGTTAGAGGCATCTTCGATTGTTGCTGTAGCCCTATAATAATTTCTTTACGTTATGTCGCATGGATTTTACTTTAAACACCATTTGGACTAGACCATCCTCCTTGCAATTTCATGAGAAGCGTGCTAACATGGAGTCGTAGTGCACAGGTCATCATCCCTTTATGAAAGTTATACGGGTCTTTCCAAAGAATTTGGCGAAAGGAAACCAAAAGAGAATGAGCGGAGAGATCGAATCCCCAATACATCACCCTCTCATTTTAAATGTAGTACGTAACATTTTCTAAGCGCCCTTGTCGCGTTTATCTCTCTCCTGCAAAGTCTTAAATTCCTGTCTTACTTGTTCCGACTTTAATTTGCCTTTTATAACAAATTCTGGATGGGACAATTGCATGCCTAGATGTGCGACATTTTTCTTGTGGTAGTGAGATATTAAGTGGGAAACAAAGGCGAAAAAAACCTCCAAATATTGCCCAGAGATGCCCATTTGCACAAGAGTCAAATAACAATGTGTTGGCCGTTTTTTGTGCTATGGACGCATGGTCCGAAGTCTTCCAGATAAAAGACGGGTCTCGGGTCAATGACCCGACAAAGAAGGCTTCCTTACCCGACAGATGACATATAAGTCTTAAGTTAAATATAACGAAAAAAATTAGCACGTGGTCTTGGTGACCCCTCAGATGGTCTACATGATCCCCCGCTTGAAAGAATTAACTGGAACGCTGGATCCGTCGTGGGTGAACGTGGGCATGCGCAAGAGTTTGATCTTGTAACGTCCATCTAGTATGAAGTCCTCTTTAGTATAATAGTGACAATTGCCGATGTCATCGGAAACCTGAAAGAGAAAAATAGCTAGACAACCAATGGTCTCTACTAACTCTAGTATGCCGTCTTTACCACAAAAGATCCTTGTGGGAAGCTTGGTCGACAAAAGAGATGGATTTATTTTAAAAGCTTGTATTCTAACATGATTTACGTAATATATTGACACAGTATTTGTCCTGAAAAGTAAAGTCTAGTCCATTTCATTTCAGCTACCTGTTCTCTTCAAAACACATTCAAACAAAGGGTTTTATCTTCCTTATTGAACATTATTGATCACTTGCTGACCAAGCGATCTTCACTCCTGCTCCCTACCGTTCGTATCTGGGCCAGTGATCTGGTGGATATAGCAGTTTGTGGATCATTAGATAACAGGGTAAAACGAATTGTTCCTAACTTTTTTAACACCGTAAAGATATTGCAACCTCTTTTTGCCATGTAAATTCGTGCCAAAATGTTAAATGGCTTGCATCAAGATACGCTGTCGTAAAGTCTCTTCTTCTTTAAAGCAAGATTCTACTGACCCATCTAGGAGAGTCCCTCTTCCTTCCCTGTAGACATGTCTTAACATTATCAGAGATTTGAATCTATTAGCATCCTGACTAGTTTGTAAATGTTTTCAATATTAACTTCGACTTTGGTACATTATAATTTTATTATGCGAATCAAACCTACTCTAAACGATTCCTCAGTAAATGAGAACTTTAAAAAGTGACGTCATTGAACTCGTCTTTTTCTAGCTTGTGGATCTGACCCAAAGACTGCTTCAGCAGATTTTAAAAGTCGATTTCCCTGGACCAGCAAATCTGTCTCCAGAAAATAAACAGCAAATCATCTCACTTCTGGTTCAGACTTTTCAGGTAGTTATTATTTTACCTTTGGCCTCCTCATGTTGCTCTGTGGGGCCTCTAGGCTCTCTGACTAGTAGTAGCAAAAACCGATTTCCAGAGAAAACGGAAATTGGATAACCTTGTATTTTTCCCTCATTTTTTCATCCAAGTGACGTATGGTAGCTCAGCGTTAGCTAGAAACAACGTGATTTCATTATTGTACAATTGTAAAGCTCACTATGACTAAGTTTCCCGGGGTGAATTTGATCAAAATTTTTACAGGTGTAGTTTACAGTTGTGGCTGTTGTTTTCTGACTCTAAAGCAATAGCCAATTCTTTACAGTAAAAGGTTGTTATCCCCTCATAGGTCCCCCCAAAGGCCTTGTGATTTACCAAAGAAATCATGACAAAGGAAAACTTGTACCATTTATCCCTTTCCAAAACAACAAAGCTTTACGACACATTAAATAGTTTAAATATCATTTTCAATTTGCCAAACAGTCTTTCTGTTTTTTTTTTTCCAAATTTTATGACCGTGTATGTTCTTTCCGCTTTTATGATTGTCATTTTCTTGGTAGAATCAGCAACTACAGACTCCAGAGGTTACTGCGCCTCTGAAGGAAATGAAATTTTACCAAACAAACGATCTGGACAGTGAATTCCAACAAGAAAACACCGATCTTGCTCTTCAATCCTCGAGAAAGCGTAGTCGAGTATCAAGTTCTGAAGATGACAGCAGTGAAAAAGAGCACTCAGTTCCAATTAAACGGTAAAACGAATACTTGTCATTTAGCTTCATTTGCGCATTACCGGTTAGTACAAACAATATTAAAAGGTTGATCAACTACCTCTTCCCAGTAGCACGAAGGACGCATATCGCATGGTATTTACCTGATAGTAGTGGCCTAGTTTCAAGGAATGTGTTAGGCTGAGGTGTGGTTCAGGGTTTTTGATGATAGCCTCTCACCGCGCCCCTCGCCGCTCTCAGCCTTTTGTTGATAGCCCAGTTCGAAGTCTAACTTTAGGAAATAAAATTTAGTGGCAGGTGAACGTTTGACTGAAATGAATAGGTAGGTTTTGTATTCTCTGTTAGGTCAAAAAAGGCTTTGCAAATGAAAGAAAGCGCTACGGAAGAGGGCAACTTGGTAAACATTCCCAGAATTAGCAAAGCAATGGTTGCTGAAGGTGACGATGAAAGTACAGATGAATGCATAGACGAAGACTGGGAAAATAAACCCAAAAGGATGTTTAAGCTGGAAAGCGGTAAGCTGCTTTTGGAATCTGATAGAATGGCAACTAAGCCAGTATCGTAATGTACCTTCTATTTGTAGTAAAATAAGCCAAGGTTTCAGTTGTTAACTTTCCAGACACATGATTTGCAATTGCACTTAAGGCCTAAGTTAACTGTCAAATTTCACATATGGTGAACGTAATGAACAGGAATACATTTTGCTCACTAGCATTAGGTTACATACGTGAGAAAGGTTGGCATGTGATTCCAGCCTAAATTTGCCCAAGTTTTGATTAAATGTAAAAGAGTTCATATAAAACGATTACATATGTTGTTCTCACCACCAGGGACTACTTCAGAACAACCAGTAATCGTAGATTTGTCGAATGAAGAGAACAGCAAAATGCCTGAACGGCAAAAGTCAGTCTTACAAGAACGACAAACCGATATTGGAGATGCGTGCTCAAGTAATAAAAACGCTGATGAATTTGATGAGGAAAGTTTACTTGAAATGATGGGTAAACCCGACTCCCCTTCAATAGAGTGTGAATTAAATGTACGCTCTGGAAATCATGATGGGCCAACTCTTGATTATGTTTCCATCAAAGAAGAGTTCTCGAATGGGATGTATGGCTCAGATGAGAAGCCTTTCACCTCTACCCTGAAAAGCACAGTGGCAAATTCAAGTAATAAAAACGCTGATGAATTTGATGAGGAAAGTTTACTTGAAAGGATGGATAAACCCGACTCCCCTTCAATAGAGTGTGAATTAAATGTAAGCTCTGGAAATCATGATGGGCCAACTCTTGATTATGTTTCCATCAGAGAAGAGTTCTCGAATGGGATGTATGGCTCAGATGAGAAGCCTTTCACCTCTACCCTGAAAAGCGCAGTGGCAAATTCGGCTTTGCCTTTTGACGCTTTTTTTCATAAAGCAAAGGTGGAAACGGCGGAAAATGAATTCGACACTGTTTTATATCCTGAAATAAAAGATATCGCAGCTAAAGTGGGCGATGATGTCAATAGTGGGCAGTCAGGTCGTGAGGTCGGTGCAACAGGATTTGTTGATTTACCGCAGGATTTGCCGATCAATGTTGACGCCACCGCAAGTGCGTGTCAGATGGTACAAGGAGACGAGCAGATTGGAAGGGATCCGTCATTCAAAGACGACAATTACAAAGGATACAGCAATTTGATTCTGAATCTACACGGCGATGCTCTTTCAAGCTTAGAAGAAGATCTTGAAGACATATACAGCACTCAAAGCGACATCGAGGAAGAGATCAACGCCATTCCTCGCGATACGGACGTTCAAGCTGAATCTGTAAGCAGATTATGTGTTAATCAGTTCCATGAAGAAGCTCCCGGTGAAACTCATCTGTCTGGAAAACACGTGAAACATGCATCATTTGCCGATGACAAAAATCCAATTAAAGACACTTTCATTTCCGCTCGGCAGGCACCTGCAGCAGCTATCACAACGCCACGAAAAGGCCTTAGAGAAGAAGAGTTTTTCCGCACGATTCTTCGATTGAATGTTGCGGATCTTGTTTACCCAGAACGAAATGGAAGAGCTCACGGCCCACCCCGAGAACTGCCCTCTGTTTCTGGGCCAGTCAAAACGTGTTTTGATTCCATTGATCAGTATTATGACACTTTCAAACCTTTGTTTTTCTTAGAAATTTGGGAGAAGGTAGGTTTGCTTTCACACTGTTGAGTTGAAGTTATCGTTTTGTAGGGGAACATAGCTGTCACTAGTACTACCTGCCTTTTCATAAAATTGCCATATTCAGTTGTCGGTTGACAACAGTAAGCTATTGGACATTTTGCATCTAAACATCACTTCATGAAAGAGACTTTTTAGGCAGGACATGCTTCCTGATTAGCGTGTTGAGTATAGTATACCAATCAACCCACGCATAAAGTTAGTGCGTTGAACTTATGTGAAGTTTACAGTCCATTTTCCAAAAGCTGGTAAGCTGAAATTGTCGCTTTATAAATGATGAGCACCAATTAACAAAACCTGACGCAGATACAAACAACGCTTCTAGGCTTGCCAGCTTAAACGAGTTCAAGACATCTGACGTCCTCTTTAGTGGTAACGAATAATAGTAGCTTACTTGACTGTAAGTAGGGAATCCGAGACTTACGCTGTAAGGCTGCATTGTCTTTTGTTTAGATTTCTAACCGTTGGAGAGACAAAAAGGTGGATAAGAAGCGAGTGGTCATGGAGGTTTTAGACGGAAGCACGTCTAACAGCATTATTCCATGCAGTGGTTTCATAACCGACCAGCAAGAAAGAAAAGCGTTGTTCCCGATACAGAGAGATTTGGTGGTTGTGAAACTAATCGAAAGCGAACCAACAGGTAAAGGATGTAGGGGTTGAAAATTTTCATTCTTACGCTTGTTCTCGATTTAAAGCAATACTTATGATTTATTTTTAGCTTACGCGTGTTATGTTGAAACGTGAGCAATGCCTCGGTGTTGTCCTCCATCACTCCAGCTCCGTTAGTGCGAAAATAAAATTACCCTGACGCAGGTAACCTCCATCGCGGTCAAACGTCCGAGGAGATTCTTGTTTTTAATTATTTAGTGGGATTTCATTTACCATTAAGTGGAAACATGAACAACAAGGATGTGTAAAATAATTAGTTTGTCATTATTTTTGCATTTTCCCCAAATTAATGAGCACCTTTTCGTTATAATTCTTCGCGCCCGAGTGACATACTGTCGACAGTATCGAGAAAAACGTTTGAAGCACAACTTCAAAAACTTACAAAAAGTAAATCAGCGGGTATTGGCAAAATATTAAAATTTGAACAGTAAAATTCAGTAACAACCTTGGTTTTGAAGCACTTTGCTTAGCTTTCCCAAATTTCTGCCGCCTGACCGCGGCGAAGACCTAACTACAGTAGTGCTCATGCCCCAGACCGGGCAGCTGTAAGCCGATAGCCTTAACTGCTTTGCCGGATCGGTATACTATCGGTCTCTCTAACGCTAGGCAGAAGGGAAAAGGCAGAAGTCAAATTGCAAATTTCGTGACATTTTACAAAGCAAGCTTTTAATGCATTTTAAAGATTGAAAGAGTTAACAAAGGGATGTTTCCTCAGACTTGAAAGAAATTAAAAGACAACTCCAGAGAAGAGCTCGATATTTTAATTTCCTTTATTATTCCACAAGTAATAACAGCTGGCAATGGGGCATGTGATGTACGGTATAGATCACACATCCCTAAACATCTTGATTCGTGGGTTAACGTTAGCGAAGGGCTAGCGTATAAAAAGTGAGCTTGGAATGCTACTTGAGGTAGCCATTGTTTTAGGAGCCTTGCTCTGGGATATTTTTCCTTCAGCACCACACAGTAACGGTTTACTAACGACGACCGAGCTTTTTTATTTTTTTGCTGGACCAGAGCACTTTGCTGTTGTTTTAGGTGAGCCCCGTTTAAGTCCTGGAGTCTTTGGTATTGTGGAGACAGTTGACGTCAAAAAAGCTGGTAAGCAGTACATAAGTGCATTGAGAGACCTTTTCTGCACGTCAGAGAACGAAGGCTTGGGCTGATAAAATATGGTCTTCTGTACGAAACTTTCCACCCAAGCGTCCACCTCGTAAAATTGCGTGTGCTTCCTGGATTACAATAAGGAGTGGGTCTATTGGTGGACTTGAAAGACTATCAAATCTTTCAAGGACGCATACTGTTGAGGCACAACAATGTCTTTTTACCAAAGTTTACTTTACGGAAAGGTGTTGACTGTGAACAGTCTACCCAAAGTTAAATAGTTTACTGATGTCCAGGAAACTACTGCCTATCTGTTAAATGGCAATCAAGAACCACGTTTCTCGTATGTCTCTGTGGAAACGCCAGAAGTGTTTTCTCCATATAGTTTTTTTGGACATTATCTGTTTCGATGAAACAATGAATATATTATTAACATTCTTTCTTAGGAACTGCGGGTTAGTTATAGATGCAAGATATTCATTATTTCCTCAGTCATCCTTTCATGGGTTTATAACGAACCAACTCAATGACCTGCTCCCTTTGTTAGCTCAATTTGCAGAGCGCTGCACTGGTATCACACTGGTCAAGGGTCCGACTCCCGCACAATCCTGCACTTTTTCACTTTTTCCGCAGTCGCAACTGCAATAGTTGTGTCTATACCTGGTATGATCTTCTTTCATTTAATTATCTGTTTCATTCGTCAGCTTCAGATGTTTGTGGTAAGTTCAGGCTCACCTTGAACATCAGAACTGCTTCAACATTTCGACCAAAGCGAGGAAGCTACCTGGAGGTGAAATTTGTGGCGTCGTTATTGACAGCACTACGATCGTGGCGTGGTATGATGTATCTTAGCAAGAGCCCCTTAGCTCGTGACATCCTGAAACCGCGCAAAGCAGAATATTTTTGTACGAGTCATCATCAATACCCGGCGCCCGAATCCGAGGTACTATAAGCATTACGTTACTGCTGTATTTGTAAATTTGAGTTTTCGTTTGAAAAGCAACTGATTTCGAATTTCATATCGTAATAGTGGAAGACAAAATTTTAAAAAAGTTCTGTCCTAAACTACCGCTGATGAGGTTTTATTCCTATCATTGTTACACCAAATAATTTTGTTCAGGTCGCAAACTCTGTTATCACAGCTCCAGGGTATAGTAGTCAAGCCGCAAGGATGAGACCAGGCTTCTTTAGTCCAGCTCCACGCTGTTAATGCCATAGCCGTTAGCTGAAGGGTGACTACAAAAGACTTTGCATGTGACAAAACATTTTTTTATGAAATTACGTATAAAGTTTTCTCTAAGATGGATATATACGATATTGCAGCCAAAATAATCTTTATGTTGCCCGTGATTTCATTTTTAGGAGTACAATGAATTCCAGGCAAAGGCCATCTCCATTGCATCAAATGCTGCGCACATGGCATTCCCGATTCCACGGATTTGCATGTTACAGGGTCCTCCAGGGACTGGCAAATCACACACCATTGTTGGCATTATCAAGGAGATCTTAAATGTAAGTCCTAGATCCTCTTCATTAGGCTGAGAAAACAGCTGACATATGGCGACGCCACCACTGGTTTCCTGGCGGAATGACGTGAGAGGAACGACGGCAGAAAAAAATTACATAATGATGACGTATCACTACCCAGATCTGGGTAGTGCTTCTGATTGGATGAAGCAAATTTTAAACCAATCAAAAGCACTAACCAGATTTGGGCAGTTACAAATGTCGTCTGTTTTCTTATCAGGCTACCTCTTTATATGAACCTGATCGATTGACTAGGTTAGCCAACCGGCTGGCCCGGTTTCTCCTGTGAACACCTTTAAAATTTCTGTTATAAGTGAAATAGCAACGAGGTGATACCTTGACACTCGAGTCTGGTTGACCGGGGTAGTGTGAAGAGGCCCTGAAAGTGTTTGAGTGTGCTACCTGTGGTAGAAAAATATCATAGTATATGATCACCAACGAAAGATCAAGGCTGTGGAAAGTTGATAAAAGGTACTAAACGTGACAAATGAAGGTGTTTGATGCATTCAAGAGCTTGTTACTTTTAGTAAAAAGGTGGCTATGCTTTTTGCCTTTCAATTTACCGATGAACTTGACACATTAGTGATTGCAATATGTTCAGTTTTATCTAGCAGAAAAAAATTGTCCAAGTAAATAGTTGAATACAACTATCATTTTTCTTAAATTAATCAATAGCGGCCACAGGAAAATCACCAACCTACAGCCTCGGGTCCGTTTGTCGGACATCAAGCAAGCAAAGTGCGAATTTTGTTGTGTGCACCGTCTAACGTTGCCATAGATGCATTAATTGGCCATATCGAAGCGGCAAGAATTCATCTAAACAATGAAAATAGAAGAGGTTGCAGGCAAGGTCAGTTTAAGTAAGGTTAGTTTAAAGTGTTGTGAAGTATTTTGTAGGTTGTTTTCAGTTTATTGAAGTTTCACTCGTGCCTAGATTCTCGGTATGATTAGGTTTCTAGATCAAGGTTAATCTGTATTTGTATCGACAGGTTTTTTAATTCCATTGACGTTTTAAGGAGGTTTTCAACATAAGTCTCAGTCCTTGAAGTGGACACGTTTTGTGATTATAGCTACCCTTGATTGTTATCTACCGCGTTGGTTTAGCATTTAAGCTTACATTGGTTTTCATGTAGTTGACACTATTAACCTTATAAGTTTGCTTATTCCACTTTTGTTATCTACAGGAAATACGTTAAAAAGTGCGTTCGTATCCCTCATGGTCAGCAAGCCTGAACGTACCAACACTTAAGTAATTTAATTGGCCAATATTTGACACAGCTAGTAGTTGAGCTGCAGTAGTTGAGTTGATGCTGTAGAAAAAAACATATGAACTACTCTAAAGAATAAAGAACGGCAAGATTTAAACCAGCTTCCTGGTACCTCTTTGCTAAACGAGCGAGTTGCTCGAACACCCCTATGTATTTGGCGTTCTTGCGAGATTTACCAGGATCGTTGCCCGGGTTCTCCACCAAAATATATCGGGTTGTCCGAGCAACTCCCTCGTTTAGTAAAGAGGTAATAGGAATCTGGTTTACTTCTTGGCGATCTTTACCAATACGGATTAACTGTGATCTAGAAACCTAATCATAACAAGACTCTAGGCACGAGTGAAACTTCAAGTACAAACATGAAGTAAACTAAAACAACCTACAAAACACTTCACAACATTAGTAAACAGAGCCACGTTTAATTCTCAACGGAAGCTTGGCAGTGCCAAACGTTTAATTGATAAAACCGCTTAGGTTGTCTATTTAACTGCGACGATCATATCCACTTTCATAAATTCATCTGAGGATAAAGTTTCGAGCAAAATTCGGAATCTTGCGTCCACATCTGTCAATATAGTTACTTGTGCACTTGTCTACGACGCACGCGAAAATTGTTGATACTGGTCGCTGGCGCCTCCCGCCGATTAACGCCTTTAAGTTGGTGCAAACAGGCGACAGCTTACGTCGTCCAATCCATCATCAATGCAAAGGGTAAGTGTGTGCGACCGAATGTCATGCAGTGTCCTCATTCACGACCCTTTCGGTCCAAAGGAATTCAACCGAAATGATGTTGGTTTTCCCTCAAGACACATAATGCTCAATGATATTTTCGTTGCTCTGTCTTAACATGGGCTTGTCACCCCAGTTTAATAAAGTCTATCTTCAGATCCGTTTGACAAGGGAAGCGATTTGAGGTATGCTTAATATGTAATGATTTTTATATTTTTTCTCCCTTAATAAGCACTCTCAAACAATTGCGGCGATTTGTTTCTGGTACGAGTTGGCCGTAAACACGAGATCCTGCCATCAGTCCTCAAGTTTGGTTTGGATTGCCTGACAAAGCAGGTGCTGGACAAGGAACTTGTTTCGGCGACAGCAGGACGACTTGCCAAGAATTCTTCCCACGATTATTATCATAACAAGGTATTCTATTTTTCTTAGTTGGTTAACATGTAACTTTTAAGACTTGGTTAAGCACCACTGGACACATTTGGTTATTCAGTTGATGACCACTCTAAAGTTTTGATTGAGCAAAAATTTGTGCCCCTTAGCACAAGAATTTGCAAATTGAAAAGGAGGCACTCAGAGAGAAATTGCGAGAGGAGAACGCCAAGCAAACAAGAATCAGAAGGGAAATTTTGGATTCTGCAGACATCATATGTACCACGCTCAGTGGGGCAGGGAGTGAAAGCTTGAAGAATGACTTGCAGTCGGACAGAAGGTTAGTTTCGTGTCTTGCTTATGTTAAGGAATCATTGTTATTTGTGTTCACTAATATTGTTTTCTCTTGGTTTGTAGGCGTATCTGCTCTTTCAGTTGTGTTATTGTTGACGAGGTAAGACCACTGAACCAATTGTAAATGTAGTGTCTTGTTCTCGCAGTTGTGCGCTTAAACATATTTAACAATTATTCCACCAGTGCGCGTTGGCTATGGGCGTGTTCCTTGCAGCGAATCCAAAAACGGATTTTTGATCCTAGATTTGCCGATTTCGCGGTTGGAAGGGAACGCGAAATCCGAAATTGGATTTGTAACCTTGGTAACCTTTCGCAAACGCGTGAAAGAAATGACGTGTCTAATCTCTCACTCCGCGGTTGTAAATTACTAGAGTACGTAAACAACCGTCAGGAGCCGATGACCGGCTCCTGCATTGCATCGATACAATGAACAACGCACCAGTATAAAGCGTTCCTTCCTTACATCTCCGGGGTATCCTTACCTAAAGGATTTTGGCGTAGGCTCGAATACCAGCCGCTGTTCGGGAAATATGAACGTACTCCTCCCTCGAACAGACGCGTCTCTTTTCGGAGTTGACCGAGAGAGCGGCGGAAATCGAGGCAAGTTCTGGTAATAATTTCTTAATAAAGACTTTGTTGTAAATATCTCATTGTCAGGCGTGTCATACTACTGAACTGGATTTGCTCATCCCTCTTCAATATATGGCATCTAAACTAGTGCTGGTCGGAGATCCTACACAGTTGCCGCCCACAGTACTGTCAACGGTACGGGAAAGCACTTTTATTTTATTTTTTTTATTTTATTAGTTTGCCACACACAATGAATTACAACCGGAATAAAAATGATAATAAATAGGTTAATTAACATTAAATTTAAAGTCTGTACATTACTTGGGAGGAGTGACTGTGGCGAGGAAATCTCCGAGAAGCCGAGCTTATGAGGAACAGAGATTTCGCCCCACGGGCAATTTAAATACTAGGCGGTATTTTAAGAAATAAAGAAAAAAGTCGTTTATTTGAGTATATAAGTGTGTTGAGAGGAAAATATAGGTGTTAAGGTATTTAGGTTGCATTCTGTCTGACCCTTAAAAATGGTTTGATCACACGCTTGAATATACTAAAAGACGGGGCATTTTTGATGTCGTTCGGTAATGAATTCCATATTCTAGGACCTTGAAACAGGATCGAAAATTTTTTAATATTTGTTCTACAGGTATGAGGTCGGTAAAAGTCAGAGTATCTTGTTGACTTGTTGACTTTTAGGCCTCGATTACAAGTATCTGGATATTTTGGAACACTGAGATGTTTTTCCTTCGTTGTTGAAAAAAAAAGACCCGACCACATATAGCGTATCGCCCTTCCACACGAAAAGGTTAAAACAATGGAAATACGCTAGCACCCCTTACAGGGCATGCGCTGTATGATGTATGACATCCTAGTATTCGAAGCCTCCATTTACGTCCGTCCATACGAAAATGGTAAGCCAGCGTTTTCATAAAACCTCACTCAGAGGACCGTTTTCGAAAAGCTGCATTTTTGGTGCCAGAAAACGCCGTTTACGTGTGAACGGAAGGCTAAATCGGAGAAAATAATCTCTGTTTTCAAAAATATCCGGATACGTGTGGACCGAGGCTTAGCTTTAAGTAAAAGTGCAAAGTTAGCGTGAAATCAATTCGCGTTGAGTTACGTTTCGTAGTCAGCTCTACCTCTAATAATTTGCTTTTTTATGAATAATCTTAGAAAGTGAAGGAAAACCTATTTGGACGTTCCATGTTTGAACGACTCGATGCACACTTCCGAGATCAAGGTTAGTTCAATCCAGATTCTAGGTGTCTTGTGACAAGGACTTTCACAACCTCTTTCCCAGGGCCCTTTCCCCTCGCTTCAGGGGACGAGTGGGAGAGGACCCTGGGAACGAGGTTGGGACTTACAAAGCACGTAACCAAGTATCCATGACACTCATTACTACCGCCCCACTGGCCACCCATAGTTCAGCGGTAAAACAATTTAATTACCTATTGTTGTTGGGTACTCCGCCGAATTTACCTAGCTTTTTAACAGTACAAAAACAACCAAATCAATCCCGGATTGTTTGTTAAACGCCAAGTTGCGGTTTATTGCATATTTCTTATTACGCTCGTTGAGAAGCCGTAAGAAACGTTCTTGTTATTTAGCTATGTATAAACGGACACCTCTATTAGACGAACACCTAGGTAAAACGGACACCTAGAGTTGGTCCCTTCTTTTCTTTACTCCCTTTATGTAACCCTTTCACTGCCAAATGTAGCCAAAGGTAAATTTTGACCAAGTTTGCAAATTTCGTTTTGTAATATTTTGAAAAACAAATAGCAGAATGTGACAGTACAGACAGAGAGCTTTCATTTGAATGGTCACATCAGAGGATTTCATCCACAGACTCAAAAGTTAGCGTCATCTTACAAAACTCCACCAAGCACTCTGGCAGTGAAAGGGTTAATTCTCTAAAAGACGGACATCTCTTTATGGCCGGTCTGAAAGGAGTCCGTCTTAGAGAGTGTCAACTGTGGTTACGTTTCTGTTGTCCAGTATAGAAACATATAAGTGACGATGCCGGCGTCATCAGCTGGTTAATGCTATTAAAATACTGAAAATTCTTCATTAGTTAGTTTCATTAGTTCTTCATTATCAATTCTTCATTTCTTCATGTTCTTTATTAGACTGGGAGAATACGGTAATTATGCTAGGGGAGCAATACCGCATGCATCCAGAAATTGCTCGCTTTCCCTCTGTGCACTTTTATAACTCACGCCTGAAAAGCCACAGGTAACTAAAGATACCTTACCACTCTTTTTGTGTTTGATCGCGAACTTTTCAAGCTTGTTCTATTATTTGCTGTTAAAATTTTTTGAGGAAGGACTTGGCTAAAGAAAATTTTTATAGAACCTTACGTTAATATTACAGCTCATTGGAGACGAGGACATTTCCACTTGACAAACACTACGCCCTTTTTGACGTCCATCGTGGAGAAGAAACAGGCCTGGAAAAAGGGTATGGTTATAAAGTTAATATTTTGTCTTAAGAATGGCATTTGCTTTAAATTCCCACTTTGAGTCTATCGAGTGTCGTGTTGATGCCTTGCAAAGTTAAATTTTGCGTACTACGATCAGCATTGCTGTCATATTGTTTATGCCTTGGACACCAATCTGGTAATGCTCGGTCATTACAAGAAAATAATGCCCGCTTAGCAGCCAATCAGAAGAGGAAACAGGCCTGGAAAAAGGGTATGGTTATAAAGTTGATATTTTGTTTTTAGAATAGTATTTGCTTTAAATTTCCATTTTGAGTCTATCGAGTTTATCTCAACGACTGTTTCTGTAGCCGTGCCTATGTCCTTTTCGGACGTCCAAATCGACATTTAAGCGTCAATTATTGTTCTTTTACAATTTTTTGTTCGGCAATTATGAGTTAAAAATAAGAAAGAACGAAGTACATATGTTTTCGTTTTTGAAGGGAATTATGGAATCCGTTTGAGGCAGATATGATTGCTGATTTGTGCGGTCACTTAGTCAAGGTCCTCGACGCAGAGTCTATCGGAGTAATCACTCCTTACCGTAAGCAGAGAAGCGAAATCCAGAAACGTCTTTTAATGAGGTTAGTTTCCTGGACCTTGTTTAGACCAAGGTGAACTTTTTTCTACACAGTTAGTTTGGACGATTCATGGTAAAATAGACTATTACTGCTACCGTAAATGATACAATAGACGCCTGCATGCGGCGTTTAATTTTAGCCGGTTCCAAGAGGGGGCGTTTGATAGATTTGAGGCGTTTAAAAAAGAAAGATAACTGTAGCAAGCTCAACAAAACCAATATGCTTTCGGAGAAAATATCAGTACAGTTTATACACAGCAAAAATTCCAGCCCATCCATTGATACGTCTAGGCCGTCCAGAGATCGGCATATTGCTCTTTGAAATCTCAACTTCGATCTCAAAGTCCTCATTCAGAGTCATTGTGCTTTGATCGTTAGCCTATCCCTTCTTTGAACTTGACATTGAATTGAATTGTTTTGCTCCTGTTTTCTATTTCCTAGTACTTTGTAGAAAAAGTCATTGGGGCGTCTATTAGACAGGGGGCGTTTTATATTAGAGAGGGGCGTCTAATTCAAACTTAAAAGCTAATTCGGCTGCCGCTACTGCTACTACTACGACTACAGCTACAAGTCTTTCTTCTACCAAATCATCTCCGTCTTATTCTCTTATATTCCTACTGTGTCGTACTTAGACGCCCTTTAACTGACCGTGGTAGTAGAGCTAATAGTTTTTCCGGTTTTTACAGAGGTTTGTGCAAGAGCGATGATGCTACAAGTGTTAGTATCGAAGTGGACAAAGTTGATGGTTTTCAGGTATTTAGTTTTGTGTAATAAGGTTCAGTTCACTGTGAAGTTGAGGTATTGTTATTCAAGCCGATGTTGTTGTTTTCCTAGGGGAGAGAGAAAGAAGTCATTATTTTGAGCTGTGTTCGTACAAAGAATTATCATGGCTCTATCGGGTAAGAGATCAGTTTCTGAAACTAAAGAACAAATGGTTAAGTTATCTCTTGTCTTGTCAAGTTTATTTCACCAGGTTAAGCTAGATATAAAACCCATAATAGGTTATTTTTTTATCTAAGAAGGTCAAATATTTACTCACAATTTTCAATGAACACACGCACATTAGTTCAGTGGGCGTAGACTACAACTGCGGGGGAAATTGCCACAAAAACATTACGTTTTTCAATAAGTCGTGTTCACTGAACCAAAACGAACCTGGTGATGCGATAGAAACTACAAGGCACAGTTTCTTTGACAACAAGAAATTTTGGACCTGAGCCTGCGATAAACTAAAACCGAAAACTGGTCAGCGGCTAACTTAAAGAAAACACGTCACCTCAATGAGTTGTACACTTGAGCCCGCGATACACTCACGTGACACTGGTCAACGGAAACCGTTTTTGACAGCTATCAATTGACCATAACATGAATATCCACTATAACATACAAAGGACTGCAAAGGAACGCGAACGAATATGCCGCAGAACATAGGATCTATTAAGAACTGATCAGCTAAAATAAGAAGTAGACATTAAATTCTGCAAGCAGAATACTGCACAGTACTACATGAAAATTAACTTTGCAAGACATCAACACGGCACCGAAAGAACCCAAAACAGAGGGGGGATGTAGCAGGTTGTTACAGCTGTTACGGCTGTCTATGGCTACAACCCCGTTCTGTTTTGGGTTCTTTCAGCGTCTTGTTGATGTTCAGCAAAGTTAAAATTCACGTAGTACGATCAGCATTGCTGTCATATTGTATATTCCTTGGTCACCAAGCTGGTAGTGCTCGGTCATTATAAGAAAATCTTGCCCGCTTAGCAGCCAATCAGAGCGCACGTACCGTTGTAGCTATATAATAAGAGTTCTTATTGGTTCCTCTTTTTTGTTCAGTATTAGCTTTGTTGCTGAAAAACGGCGAATGCATGTCGCCCTCACAAGGGCTCGACAGTCTCTGTACGTTTTTGGACACATGGAAACACTTAAGGTAATAGGTTATTTTTTGAGGACTAATGACTTAAATTGCAGGTTGTCGTTAAGTAATACGTCATGGTACGATTGAATTTAGAGCGATTTTCGTGTGACCTTGAAATGAAACCGCGCGAACAAAACAGAAACAACAAACGAACGGAAATAGAGCGATTTGATTGCTTTATCGAACGGATACAAACGCGCGTGGCTTTTGGTTGGTTAAGTGAACGCTCGGGTGAAAAAAAACTTCATGCCCGAGAACATTCTAGAAATCAACCGATACTTCGCTTTGACGTCATACTGCAACACGATTGGCTAATCGAACAATGCCTTCTCCATATTAGGGTTTCGAAGAGGCCATGTTTTGATCTTTTCATCCATTGGCTTATAAAACAAATAACGAACACTTACCAAACCATTTTTCAAGGTCATACGAAAATCGCTCTAAATGATGTGGGCTCATAAAAAATATCTTTTGAAACAACATGGCGGTAGCAGTAATATATTTGTCCAAGAAAGACCCGAGTTCAATCTAACTACCATCGAGTTTGTTTTCACTGTGAAAAGCAAAGATATATAAAAGGAAATTGTAAAAGATGTCAGTCTGTAATCGAAACATATCCTGATGTTACGTTCTTCTGAGGATCTTTTGCAGAGTTTTGAAAAAGAATGAGCAATTTGCGTACAACATTCACATAGAAAGGGTGAAATTTTAGGAATATCTTCCAACTTTTTGCAGCTAAATCATTATTGTAGTGGGCGGAAGACTCATGGATACTTGGAGATGTGAAAGACGTCTATTCTTGCTCATCTCAGTCGATAGGAAAGAAGTACAAAAGTTTTATATGTCTGACCCCTCACGCACGGTTTTTGTTTATTAACAACGTCAGTCCCCCTCTTAATTCATTATGACTAGTAGATTGTATTGTTGTTCATAGGGTGTTTCCGAGGAATGGAGAGCGTTGATTGAGGACGCGCATCAAAGAAGTTGTTGCTATCCGGTTGCTTCTTCGGAGGATGTACAGTCCGTTACCTCTTTAAGGAATGATAGACGGTCACCGGCGAAAGACCCTCGATTACATAACAAAATCGTTCCGCGATGCCAGAGCAGTAACCGCAACGTAACTGATACAAATCGTCGCTTGCATCGAGAGAATATGTCAGAAAATCAAAGAGCAAGTCCAGCTTTAAAGAATGAAGGACACCTGCTGATAACCATCGCGTCTTCGGAGGGTGAGCAGACCGTACGTTCCATCACTGTAACACCTGGGAATGATAGACGCTCTCCTGTTAGAGACCATCGATTAGAGGACAGAGAGGACACAATAGCTTCGAGTTTACGGTGGGATGACACTGACGTTCCTGAAACACGTCGTCCCTCGCATCGAATTAACATGTCAGAAGATCAAACAGCAAGCCTAGCCTTATCGAGTCAAAAACAAATGTTGATAACCGTTGAGTCGTCCTTGGAGGATACACAACCCGTACGCCGTTCCATCACTGCAAAGAATGATAGACACTCGCCTTTCAGAGACCATCGATTAGAGCGTAAGAATGTTGCTTCGACAAGACGGCTGAGTGACACTAACACTCCCGAAACGCGTCGTCCCCCGTATCAAGTTAACATGTCAGAAGATCAAGCAGTAACTTCAACTCTTCGCAAAGAACACGATGGGAATGAACGTGTGTCTCGCTATCAGGATCGTTCTCGTTCTTCGCGTTCCAGAGATCGATCCCGTCGTTCACGCTCCAGGGATCGTGCATTCGGCAAGGGACGATCCTCTTGGCACAGGGATTATGATGCCAATGAAGGCAGATCGCACCACAGAAAAGACAATGAGAAACAAAGTCGTTCAAGCCGCCGGGATCAGTATGAGGAGGAAGGCAGAGGTGGAGGCGGGTTTTCTAGGCACAAAGAACGTCATGAAAAACGAAGTTCTTCACCTCACAAAGATCGTCGAAAAGGCAAAGAAGGTGGGGCCTCAAGGTACCGTAGTTATGATCGAAGGGACGATAGTTTAACACAGAAACAAATATACGAGAAAGATAGTAACTTGCGAAATAGAGATTACAGCGCAAAAGGAAGCTCCAGCCACGCAGGTCGTCATCATGAAATAGAAGGTAACTCGAGGCATGGATATGATCATGGGAAGAACAAGGAAATTTGTGCTGCTACTAATGCATATAGTGACGATGATCATGAGAGAAGCAAGGAAAGTAGGTCAAAGGGGGAAAGCTACGGTGCAAGGAAATTTAAGAGATATCATTCCGACGGAATAATCGGTAGACCACATCGCAGGACCCAATCACCAACTACAAAGAGGCAAATACTTGGAAATGCCCTAAGGGACTGTGGTGAAGAATACAAACACCAGGAAGAGCAAATGGAGAGAGACGAAAGCACCAAAAGACGTAGATTTGATGAACCTTCCATTAGTCCTCATTCTACAGCTTCGGTCTCAGTTTTAAAGGCTGCCTCTTCCTTTGAAGAAAGTGGAGTAGATTGCAACCGGTATTCGTTTCAGTTGGGTTCCAGAGAAATTCGAAGAAGTCCTAGAGCGTGTGATGCCATTTCTGCTGGTACCATTTCTTCAAACAGTGCAGGTACAGAAATGGGAACACAAGACTATGCGTTGGCTTCTGTCATAGAAAAACTTCGGTATTATGCCCCTAGGTATTTTGGACAGCACCAACGGCTCGAAGGGGCTCAATCTGGACGGTCAACAACTGAAGCAACTACATCAAATTCCCCTGATAGATTATTACCGCCGACGTCATCTTCTAAAACTAGAGAGACGATCGCCCTGACTCATTCACGCAGCCCACTTTCCGAAACTTCCGAAACCACTGCCCTAAATGGCTCATCGAGGTCAGCTACTGAAGCTAGAGCCAGTACATGTATGACATCAGCGGGCCCATTTAAGAGAGAAGGTGCAATCATTGTGCCCGCTGGTGTATCAGGGTCGCGTACGCAAACTGTGCAAGCAGACATCACAACTTCTGGTTTTTCGAGGTCATCCCTTGAAAGGGTCGCAAACAAAGCTACAGGCGTTTGCAGCTTTTCAGGCTCAGATAGGGAAGGAATAGCGATGGCTGGTTTACAAAAGTCATCTTCTGAGACTGCTACAAATACTGCCCAAGTTAATCCACCAAGGTCTCTTCCTTACATAGCTGAAGCCATTAAATCAGATTGTAAGAATACGGCCGATACAGTGCAGTCGACATACCAACATCCTCCAAAGTCTTTTTCTACTGTTATTTCAGGCCAATCTGTTGCAACCGCGGTCCCAGTTTTGTCCAACACAAGACTCTGTGACCCCGAACATCCGTCTGGTCGCAGTGCCAAAAATGATGAGTTAGATCCAAGTGCCCAAAAGGCGGCGAACATTGTTAGGCAGCGGCATCCTCCTCCTGCGCCTATTCCTATAATCCAAGCGGTAGGTCCCCGTAGGAGAGTGTCTCGTGTCAACTCAAACGATGCTGGCGTTAATATATTGAGAGAAAGGGCCAGCGAAACGGCAACTGTACAGAAAAGAAAAGACGACAATGTTACTTCACCAAATAAAATTGATAAGAAAAAGCTGTGTGAAGGCTTTAGGGGCAGAAAGAGTTGGAACTAATGGATATCACTAGAACCTCGCCAGTTTGAATCAAGGACACCCTCGTGGTCTCAGACCTCGATCAAGGGTTCCGCGCGGCCTCCACTAAAACTCTACGTCCTATGATTAGATGATCTCGTTATGACGGGTTGCCCACCATAAAAAGATAGGAAACAATGAATCTTGATGGATTCGTATTAGCCTTCTGTATACAAGGAGACAAGAGATAAGAGATATGTTAACTGACAAAAATACCATACCAGAAGATCGAATCTTTTCAATAAGGAGTGTCAAGGCATACACTCTTTTTTGGGTGTGAAGTAAGAACGACAATGAACCAGTGCAACGTAACAGCTACCGACCAGATGACTGATGGTGCTATTTCAATAAGCAAAAATTTCCATCGATTTCAATTCCACAGTAATCAGTTAACAGGGGCTTCCACCGACGGTTTCCTCCTAGATACTGTTTACATTGAAACACTCATTTTAGCCGCCAATCCGAGTGGAATAATTTAGCTGATAAGATGAAAGCTTCAAGAGTCGCCCTCTATATTTAAGAGAAACAGCAACAAATGTCATTGTCATCTGCATTTGACCTGCAGCTGTGTCCTCTGTAAATAGAATGTTTATTATTTTATTTTTATTCTGAGTAGTTTATTTTAAGTATTCTCCGGAAATAATTTTTTTTACTTATTTTTGTACATTTACATTCAAACGAACCTTCGTTCATATTCGCTCATATGCGATTTAGAATGCATTCTAAGCGGAGCTATAAAATTTGCATCTGTTTGGTCAGGCTAGGGTAACTTGAGTCTTTTCGAAATCACAAGGGCTTTGGACGCAAATTAAAGATTCTCGAACGTGAGAATTTTTTCTGAGTCCTCTCTTTATGATGTTTTCGAATCCAAAGAGTTTAGGGTTTCCTTTCGCTACGAAAGATAGCTTTACATGACGAGGGAAATTAATAAAACTTCAAAACAGAAAATCGTAGAGAATGTATTATTTGGGCGTTTTCGAGATCGCTTGTTTTGCTTCAAAGTTGCAATAGGCACGCAATACGTACGAACATAAACAAGCCAAACGACGCGAATGTCTGTCACGCGAACGACTCGTTCAAGGTAAAAAGCATGCCGGAAAGGAAGCTCTGTTAGCAGGGTACTTTATCCCACTTTTACGATCTCAAAAACCTTGCAACAAAGAAACACAATTCCCAACAGTGCAGGAACGAAGAAATTAACATTTGTTCGGTAATTTAAGCGTATAAATCCCAAGCTTACGGTATTTTTATCTTACCAAGAAGCCGCGCAATTTTTCAGAAATTTGAAGGGAAATTTGTCAAAATAATTGGAATTGACAGGTTTTGCTTATAGCCAAGAGTTTGACAATATTTTGGCCCTCAGTTGTCGAGAGCCAAAAGAAGATGTCACGCAAAATTCCGTGATCGTGCATGGGATAAGTAAGGTATTGTTTCAGTGAGAGGAATGATATGCGACGAGTGGCCACATATAGAGTATTTCGGCAGTTTGATAGTTTTATTGCAACTGATTGATGTTAGCCTATTAATTTTAATATTCAATGATGCATAACTTTATTGCAGATGTTGGGAATGGAGCGGATTTCTTAAAATCTTTTTGAGCAAAATGATCCCGTAAACAAGTTTTCGCCGGCGAAAGTTTAATTTTTTCACGTTTGAACCGTAAAAGAAGCAAAATCCAACATCTTCACGTGCAAATTGCGTGCGTGTGTTATTATTAAAAACCCTTGGGTGAATTGGATGAAGTCGTATTCTCTCAACACGTGATGTGGCGTGGTTCTGTGAGTGTTGGAGTTAGATGTCAGGGCTCTAAAACAGAGTGAGCGGGTCATTTTCAGCAGAGCTTTTCTGTGTTTTTTTTGCGCCGTACTGACGAGCCACAAGAATGGCGAAACAACTGTCTACGGCTTCGACCCCGTTCTGTTTTGGCTTCTTTTGGTGTCGTTTTGGTGTCTTGCAGAGTTAATTTTCACGTAGTACGATCAGCTTTGCAGAATTCAATGTGTCTACTACGTTAGCGGCATATTCGGTTGCGGTCCCCTTGACCCCTTGACCTAACCGATTTTTTCGAAGCCCCCCAAACATCTTCATACTCCCTTGTCCATAATAAATGAACTTTACCTTATCCACCTCTCTCGTCCGCAGAGGCTCCGCTGGGTAATAGCAACAAAAATACAGTAATGATCGAAAAATAGCAAGCGCGCGGAGGATGATCCCTTCCCATCGTCCCCGCGCGCTTTCTTTTTTTCCCCTTCCCAGCCCTCCCAAAGACACAAAGAGGCTTCCGACTGCGGAAGACAGAGCTTATTCACATTCACTCCATACAAATATTATCAAAAATAACCGAAAAACAATCCTTAACAGAAAGCCTAACAACATTTAAAATAAGTACAAGCAGAAACTCCTTATGGGTTTCTGGTACAAGTATGTTTTCGACTATTGATGAGATCTTTCATAACCACAACATTTCATTTCAACAGACCGTAACTACACTATCCCTGTCAAATTACCACTCCCCAGGAGCCGATCCACATCAACCTCACTGCAACACTCCTAAAATCCTTTTTACCTTCCAAAAAAATTTGTTATTTCTTCCTATCAAATTCTACGAGAAACCAGTTTCACTGATTTACAAACTTACCAATCCACGTCCAATATAACTCTGCGCCTTCCACTTTACACATCTCAACCAACCCTTAAATATACAACGTTACTGCACTACTCCAACATCCCTGACACAAAAGTGAAAAAACCCTCACATGCGCGTAGTACGTGACATGATGCGTTTTCGGTGACCGTTTTCACTGAATACCTGTTGACGGTGGGCCAAAGCGTAGAAAAAAATATCCGTTTTCAAACAAAAGGGATGCTCAGTTCTAAACAAGGTATGTGAAAGGGGTACCATTTGTCAATAGAAGGTACCGGAAAGGGGTACCGTTTTCGTGAAAAATGGTATACAAAAGGATAAAGAGTTGGACCTCGGGGCGGAGCCTCCCCGTATAAACATTTGTTGAGTACTTCCCCCCTCTTCAGGCTTATATCTGGGGTGGGGACTTATAATCGGATGTATATCTTTGTTTACAGCTTCATGGGTCAGTCTATAACTGCGGGCTTGGTTGTGTGCATTTTGGGTTTCCTCGACTTCCCCGAGGATCGCTAAGCGAAGTGTTATCGGGTCTTTTTGTAGCCTGTGTACAGCCGCCCCTCCCCTCAAAAAAATCGAGGGGAGGGCGGCCGTACACAGGCTAGTCTTTTTGCTATATTTTTATCGGTTTTGATAGTGTCCGCCTGTCGTCCATAGTGACGTCAAGGAGCATTTTGTGTAACTATGTTCTTGCCCTTTTCTTTTTTCATTTATTATGACCTCTACTATATAAATTACTGAAATCTAATATATAGTAGTCACGCAAGCGTCGTTTGCAAAGTTTTGTACATATACACTGTTGTTACTTCTATATATAATAAGTGCCTTTGAAGACTGTGATGTCTGATGAAGCTTACTCATTTGAGCTTTTTTATAGTAAGACAATTTGCCCCATGTCACCCTGTTATGCGTCTAGTTTTGAAGGAACGTGAAATAGAGGGAAAATATCGTAATGCAAATATTTTAAAAGGGAGAGGCGGAAATGACGTACAACATGATAAAAAAAATTAAAAATAAGAAAAATAACCATGCAAGGATACACCGTGTGGCACGAAATTTTTGCGGATTGGCAATTTTCTGTGTTTTGCGGAAACTAATTTTTGCGATTGAGACAAATTGGTTTTTCTTGCTGGGAATTTATTTTTGCGATTTTCAGAAAGAACCCAGTACCCAGCTTTGAAAAATTTTCGTTTTTGTTAAGTACGTGCAATAGAAATTCATATTTTCAAACAATACTGCAGTATGCGCACCCTATGTAAAACCAGTAGTTGTATACCGTTTTGTTTCTGAATGAAAGAAGAAAATTGTAATTAAACAGACACGATTTCTAAGTACTGTATTTACTCTGGGGTAAATGTTTGCAGAGAAAATGTTAGCGGTAATTTTCATTTGCGGGAATTTATTTTTGCAGATCGCTAAAAAATCGCAAAAAAACCGCAAACATTTCGTGCCACACGGTAGATTACAATTCATATTTCTATTGTTTTTCATGTTGCACGTCATTTTCGCCTCTGTGTTCTCCCTTTTATAATATTTGTACTTTGACATTCTCGCGATCTATATAATACTGTTATTCCTTTAACAAATTTAGTAACATCTGTTAAGTACACCTAAAGAAGCTTAAAGAAGGTATGGCCAGCCGAAATATCGTTTTAAAAGTACAGTTTGTTATCAGTTTTGCAGACTTTTGCGGACTTCTAATCAGAATTTTCGATTTTTTAAGCATTGTGAATCCTTGTTTAGAAAACTTAATAATATTGGAATATTACAAGAGTATTAAAGAAAACCTGCAATAATGGCCCAGTTTTATCTATAATTACTCGACTACAATATCTCGACTCATTATGTGGATGTCTTCGGAGTTCGGGTACTGGAAAGGAAACCGCTGTGCTGTCGAAAATTGGCGAACTTTGATAGTATAATTTGATTATTGAAAATTGTGCTGTTTGTTTTGTAGACGTTTGTATCAAACATTCTGTGTGCGTGATTTCGAGCTAATTTCAATATCAAGATATAAAGAAAGAGATTATGACAATAGCTGTCAAACGTACATAAGTGTGCTCATGTTACTTTCGATATAGATTTTCTATTGACCAGTAGTGTTTTAGCGTGTTTGTGAATATTACAACAGTGGGACTGAATTGTGAGCAATTTGGTTGCAAGCGAGGCATATAAAATTATATCGTAAACATTGTGAGATAATAAATTTCCGAAATGATATATTTTTTTAGAGTTCCAAATATAAAACAGAAGTGTCGATACTTGACCTGATAACTTTTGACGGGAAATGGCCATTAGCAGTCACGTGACTAGATGTATCATATTTAAAGCGAGGTCGCAAAGCATGAACAACACTCCATGCTTGCCTTCCACGCTCTCTTGACGAGAGGTGAGGTGTAATGAAGCATCACAAATGATTTTAGTTACTCATCTCACAGCGTGCATACAGGATCTAACGTTTTCTTTCAGTGGCTGCAGTGGTGGAGCAGGTACTTTAGTCTAATTGTATTAGGCTCACTGGTTTCGACAGCAGGTCAATTTTTTGTGGAATACATACATGACATCGGAACTGGCTACACGAGCTGGTCCTAATTCGAACTCGACTGCCTGTTTCTCACTCATGCCATATTTTCTTTTTAGTTCAGTGGGTTATATCTATGGAAGTTAATTTTCTATTTATCAAATCGTCTTGATCGAATTATACAGCTGGGAATTTCAGCCGCTTGGGTTTAAATTGATTCGATTTCAAGGGCGCTTAAAAAATTATAAAGCTTTTGGAAAGGCGACTTTCTGACAAAATTACATGAAAACGCCTTTGTTCGGATGGGAAATGATTAGCCTGCATCACCACGTGCAATTGCTTGGTCAAAGTGCATTGTAGATCAAGATTGAGTAAAAATTCCGAAACTGAGGAGATCAAATTATCAGAAATTAACATATTGTGTCGAACAGGCTTCGTTGTAAAATCGTTGCAAACTCATTTCTTTTTGCTTGA